CGACTGCGGCCCGGCGTCATCTATCTCTCTGCAGGAAAGTATGCCGAGACACTTGCAAAAAACTTCGCAATTACTCCCATCGGCCTCACTACTCCTTTTTCCATATTCCTCCCAAGTCCACACCCAATACTACCCTACTTACCACCTTTGAATATTCACACGATGTGCCACATTAAAAAGTAGTTTCCCGATTTATCAGTCAGTGCAAACTGCTTGCCAGATTCAAGTGCGCAAGCCCCTGTACCCAGAGCCAATTTCATCTCACAGCACATGTTTTATTATGGTTTTAGATGGTTCGAGATGATTCCAACACTTGTGCTTGTAGGGGTACACACTATTTCAGTTTGGTGCACTCATCTGAGTTGGGGATTGCAAAACATGACAGCTGATGTTTACACTGTGGCAAATTGCGTCCGTTGAAAAGTGGGTCCACTGCCGAGCCTGGGATGGGGACTTTTGTTACATGTGACCATCCAGCATGGCTAGGGGATGGTGACGGATTGGTCAAACCCAATAATCCCTGATGGCGCTGGACTTTCGTCACCCGCACAAGTGGTTCAGATCATGTAAGCGACTATCGCTTCCGGCAAAGCGAAAAGTATGTAGAAATAATCTTGCAAATATCCTCAAGCGCCTTGCTTCATAATCTGATCTCAAAGTGGTTGCAAGTTGTCAATACATACAACCATTCCACTATTTCCAATGAGTTTATTGATTTATAGGCAAACAACACAAAACAAACGCGGTTCGTTACTGCCATGTGCGCTGCGAGTAACTTGCGCGCCTCGTGTTACGCCGAGTCGCACATGCCAAAGGGTCCGAAGCTGGAATGCTTGTTGAACACACCCCGTCCGAAACCCAACTTTGCCCCACGTCAATCTGTTTCTTGCCAATTCTGTGAGAGTACGCCCCCGTTACACTTCTTTTTCATTACTATATTTCATCTCCGTCTATTTCTCCCTTTTCTCCTAATTTATTCAAATCCTTACCTTATCTCATGTGTTGCATATTCTTTACTTTCCATTATCCTTTGGTTTATCCTATTATTATAATTATATCACAGACCTGGCTTGGGATGTACTGACGCGCTATATCTAGCGTAATCCTGTCGATAACACTTAAAGCCAATAGCCTCGCATGGCTATACGCAGGGTGATTCTATTTCAAGAAGGGTCTATTCCCTTTGGATATGATAAACCTGGTTACTTGATGTACCTTGGAAGTATAAAAATGCCTTGTATCAATCCATATTGCAACTTTCTCTCGACCATTTCGTTCCTCTGACAAATTCCCTTCCTTCCTTCCACTCAATCACCCCATCTCCTTTCTTTCCACCAATATTCCTTCAAACTTCTCTACAGCTTCCCCCCTTCCCGTACGCAAGACGCTCACGCAACATTCATTGCTTTGTATCTCTTTCTCCTCCCAAGTCCGAACTTAACATTCTATTGCCCCAAGTCTTGAGTGTTCCGTTGTGGGTGGCGGAACCACTCCAACAACCTCCCATGTGGTTTTTCCAACCATGCACCTCCCATGTGGTTCACTCCTCTACTGCTTCCCTGTAGTCTTCATCCTTACACTCTAAGTCAACTCCATGCTCCCTTGCAACTGCTTGGCTTTCTGCCTCTGCTGACCGTGCTTATACGTATAAGCTCTCACTGCCAGACTCGAGTTACTCTGTGTCATACTCTTGCTGCTCACCTCTCTATCCAAGGAATCTCCTGTATCTCTTGCCCCTTCGGGTACCCCCTCGCTATCACTGAACCACTCATCTGCATGTCGTGGCTGCTGAACCACTCATCTTTGGGGTCGGGGCAAAAGTCTGGAAGAAGTCAACACCCTCGCACTGGCTGAAGCCTCTAGCCATGTAATGCACCTTGAAGACAGGCAGCTCTCCAGGGGGGCGCTTCACCTTGAAGAGCCACCGACCATCGACGACTACGTTCACCCCAGGAGGGGGAACTGCATCGACATAGGTGTCGGTGGACCTCCAAGATGCCATCTCCTGCTCCATGGCAGCTACCCATTGAAGGGCCAAGGTCCCGAGGTGGCCTCAGCGTAGGTGCGAGGGGTCGGGATGTCAAAGGCGTCTGGGTCACCCTTTGGGACTAGGAGCATGGAGCAGAGATGGGGAGCGGCCTCGGACAGGAAAGCAAGCTTGTACTGCTTGTCCTCTAGAACGTCATTGCCAAGGGCAGGTGTACCCCCGACAGACGGAGGACGGGCAGGGTCAGAGACCAGAGCAGTGTTTAGTCAAGGCTGTGGGTAGAGGCGAAGTCAGCGACAGTAGCGACAAGCGCGTCAAGGCACGAGATAGGAACAAACGGATCTGTAACGAGAGAGGCAAGAACCCGAGGGACAAGGGGACGAGCGGCACGAAGGTAGTCAGACAGCGGGGGAGGTGCAACAACAAGCGACGACGGAGGAGGCGACTGGAGGAGGGGAGGACGAGATGAGTGGAAACGGAGCAACATAGGGTGGGAGCACGGGACAGGAGAGACAGGACGAGCACGAGAGGGACGGCGAGACCAAACGTGGGACGGAGGTGTAGGGTCAGGAGACAGCGGAGGGGACACAAGACGGGAACGAGGAGGAAGACGGGCCGGAGACGAGTCCGACGGCGGGAACACATGGCTGTAGACAGGAAGGTGAGGAGGTAGCGGGGGAGACACCGGCGAGCAGTCAGGGGAGGGAAGGCCGAGCAGGCAAAGAGCGGAGACCGGCGGCGTCTGCTGCTGCGGCTGCTGCTGCTTGACCGTCGGACCAGCAGTGGCACAACGACCGCCGGCAGAACACTCAACGGCAGCACCCCCAGAACCAGCACCCCCGGAGCGAGAACTCCCTCCAGTACAAGCGTAACCCCCAGGCCCTCCGGAACAGGCCACGACAGGAGCCGCAGGACGAACACCCTCCTAAATGCCAGCACCCCCAGAGGCCAAGAGCGGCAGTGGCGACTGCAATGACGGCGACGATAGTTGCGGCTCTGATACCATGTTAGAAATAGGATACTAGGAGGTAGGAAGGGCCGCCATGAAAGTGGCGGCGGGGTTTAGCTAGGAGAGTAGGAAATTATCGAGAGAAAAGGGAGGTGGGACTAGGAAGAGAGAGGCATACTAGGAATCTCCCGTATCTCTCGCCCCTTCGGGTACCCCCTCCGTCGATGAATTCTCCTGTCCTGAATTTACCTCATTACTCTCACATGCCTCCTCCACTGTGCAATTCGGCGCTGCTACATGTAGCAGCACACCGCGACTACGAGCTTCACTCACTCGACTTCTCTATGGCCTTCCTTCAGGGCAGCCTACACGAGCAGGTCTACCTGCGCCGTCCATAGGGCTTCCCTCGTACCTTCCTCCCTGGGACCCAGTGGCTTCTCCGGCGCCCGGTCTACGGCCTGCGCCAGGCTCCCCGCGAGTGGCATGACACGTTGCGTGCCACGCTAGCAGACCTGCAGTTCTTCTTGTCCTCTGCTGACCCCTCGCTCTTTGTGCTTTCCGGCCAGACCCCGTTCTACATCCTTGTCTACGTGGACGACCTGGTCTTCGCTACTGCTGACAGGGACGCACTGGCCCCCATGAAGGCCGAGCTGCTGAAGAGACACACCTACAGTGACGTTGGAGAGCTGCGTCTCTACCTTGGCGTGCAAATCTCCAGGGATACAGCAGCGCGCACCATCACTCTGACACAGTCACACTTGGTGCGTCAGGTCCTTCAGAGGTTCGGCCTTCAGTTCTCCTCCGCACAGACCACACCTCTACCTGTAGACCATGGGCTCTCTGCTCCCGTTCCTGAGGAGCCACTAGAGCCCAGCGGCCCCTACGCAGAGCTGGTGGGTTGCCTCATGTACCTGATGATTTGCACTCGCCAAGATCTCGCATACCCTCTCAGCATCCTGGCTCGCTTTGTGGCCACTGGCAGACACCGACCTCAGCACTGGTCAGCCGCTAAGAGGGTTTTGCGGTATCTAGCAAGTACATCGGGCATGGGGTTAGTGCTTGGAGGACGCAGGCCAGTGGTCCTTACTGGGCACACAGAGGCTTCTTGGGCAAACGACGCTAAGACTCTCAGGTCGTCTCAGGGCTACTGTTTCAGCCTTGGTTTGGTTGCTATCTCTTGGAGATCCACTCGCTTGTTGTCTGTTGCTCAGTCCAGCTGTGAGGCTGAGATCTACGCCGGTGCCATGGCGGCACCGGAGCTCCGCTGGCTGACCTTCTTGCTCACTGACTTAGGTGAGCAGCCTAGCTCTGCCCCGGTCCTGTACGTTGACAACAGGGCCATGATTCTCCTGTTTCAGGAGCATCAACTTGAGGGCAAAGCGAAGCATATCCAGCTGCGGTACTTCCTCCTGCGTGAGCTACAGCAGAGTCGCAAGGCCCGCGTAGTTCACTTGGCCTCCGGTGCCAACACAGCTGATATCTTCAGTGGCACTGTGTACAACTTGGTCTTGTTCCTGTAGCTACTCACTTGCTAGGACCCTGATTGTGTTCTCTCTACTATATATACCTGTCTGACTGGCCTTGTGGCCTTACCTCCAGTGGCTGGACTAGTAGTGCCGCCGTGGCTTGCTCTAGTCTTGTTTGTACTCTTGCTGACTGGTCTCTGGACCCCTGCCTCAGTGGCTGAACTAGTAGTGCCGCCTTGAGCTGTGTGCTTCTTGCTTAGCACCACCCCTTCTCTAGCCTAGGGGGGTGTGTCAACTTATACTTATACATCGGTGTGTGCTCCTAGTGAGTACAACCCCAACAGGTATATGTTATGTGTTTCTCTTACTAGTCATCCATTCGCGTATTCTAACACTCAAACCCTTGCCTCAGAGGTCGGACTAGTAGTGCCACCTTGTCCTGCTTGTCTCTCACTAGGCACTCCCCTACCCAGTCTAGGGGGTGGGTCAAACATATCTTTGTATGTTATATAGCGTGCATAGAGTCGTACCTTAGAGGGTACAAACTCAGCATATATTGCCATCTATGGTATGATTTCAAACCATTAGTTTATGCTAAGACTTAGTTCGATGTTTCGTATTCTCTTGTAAAACGTTATAAACCCTTGTACGGTATTGCCTTGCTATCATCAATCATTTGCTCTCATATACCAGTACAAGGGTTCAACTCGGATTTCCGCTATGCTACTAAGCACCCTATCTACTGAAGGACTTCGTCTCTGCCAAAGATCCCTGGCTGTTCTCAGCCCAATATGGGCTAGCGGTTGTGACGGAGGAAGCGGAGAGCAGCAAAGGACCCGATGCGGCACACGAGGCAGAAGCAGAGCAGGAAGAGCCAGTCCCAGTACACTGCGGAGCGCGCGGACCTGGTGGCAACGAGGAAATCCCAGAGGTACTCGGGTCCCTTGACAGGGTTGAGGTACCACTTGCAGGGGCAGCTGGCGCAGATAGGGGCGGCGCCGGGGCAGCCTGGGAGGGTGCACTCTGGTGCCGCTGTGTTGCAGTAGTAGGCTGCTGCTGTGAGCCCGTTGAGGGCGTACTGGAGGGGGGAAGGAGTGGGTTGGAGAGGGAGAGAAAGGGAGAAAAGGGGGAAGTGGTAAGGGATTGGGGCGTCCTGGGAGGGAGCACTCTGGTGCTGCGGTGTTGCAGTAGTAGGCTGCTGCTGCCAGCCCGTTGAGGGCGTACTGAGTAAGGGGAGAGAGGTTGGGAGAAGGAGAGTAAGGGAGAGAAGGGAAACGTGGTAAGGGATCGGGGCAGCCTGGAAGGGGGCACAGCGGTGCTGCAGTGTTGCAGTAGTGGGCTGTTGCTGTCAGCCCGTTGAGGGGCGTACTAAAGAGAGGCGAGGGAGGAAGGAATAGGAGAAAGGGGTGGGTTGGAGGGAAGGGGAAGTGTCAAGGTTTTGACACCAGCAGCCTCGGATTGGGCCAATGTGTTATCTTAATTGGTTCACCCTGATAGGATTTGATCAGCATTTGTTCCCTAAGCGGCTCTTGTACAGCCTCGGCGTTTGCTTCCCTGTATTCAGCAAGAGGTACTTTCACCTTTGGAGGAGCACAAGTGGTTTTGCAAATTAGTAATTTTGTACCAGTGATTTTGCACAAGTGGTCAATTGATTTGAGCGGGAATGGTACTGAGCATTTTTAAGCATCTAGCAAACGCTTGTACAGGCCTTAACCCCACAAAAGAACATGGCAATGCATGCTACACGAGTGCACGCAATGCCACGTTACCTGAATGGGGTTGGTCCAGTAGACTGCGAGGAAGAAGTGCTTGGTGAAGGCAAAGGGCAGGAAGAAGCCGCACGTGGCCACCCATGCTGTGATAAGGAATGAAATCACCACTGCTGCGTACTGTGGGTGTAGGGAGGTAGGTGTAGGGTGGGGGGGTTGGGGGTGGTTGGTTGAGTGCATTTGCAGCAACCCACGCGGTGATGAGGAACAACACCACCACTGCCGCGTACTGTGGGGGTGTAGGGAGTATGGAAGGGAATAGGGGGATATGGGTGCACTAACGCCTGCCATGCTGTGACGAGGAATGAAATCAACACTGGCGTGTACTGTGGGTGTAGGGAGTGAGTGGGGAGGGGACAAAGGGGATGGAGAGGGGGGGGGGGGATGAAGTGTGTACGTGAGGCGACCCACAGTGCGCTGAGGAATGGTGCAACCACTACTGCGCACTGTGAGTGCAGGGAGTGGCCAGGTCAAGGAAGGTGAGCGCTAAATTAAGGCGGGGGCTAGAGGAAGGTGAGGCGGACGTTGTGACTTTGGCACTCCAACCATACTGTGGGCACGGAGAGGAGACTGCAATGGGATGTACATAATAGGGCAAAGGGAGGGGTGCAGAATTAGGGCTAGGAGAAAAAAGTTGTGACAGGAGGGAGGCAAAGTAGGCAGCGGAGGGGAGGAGGACCTGGCAGATCTTGGAGGCGTGTCAATACAATACCTCGGGTTTGGAAAGCACCCTGGGCTTATTCAACGCCCCATGGTAGGTCTAGAGAGTACCTTGAGTTGGGGCAGTACCTTGGCTGTAGGGTTGGGTTTCGGGTAGAAATCACATGTACCTTTGGATGCGGTCCCACGTTCACCTTGGGATGGGATTCAGGGTAGATTCCGTGTGTACCTTGGGTTGGGCTGTACCTTGGGTTGTGCTGTACCTTGGGTTCGGGCAGCACCTTAGGGTAGAATTGAGAAGCACCTTGGGTTGGGGCAGTACCTTGGGTTGGGGCAGTACCTTGGGTTGCGGCAGTACCTTGGGTTGGGGCAGCAGCACGGAGAGCAGGAAGCCAAAGTAGGTGACAGCGAGGGCGGCGAGGAACTGGGTGAGACCGAAGGAGAAGAAGGTGCCCGCGCTGCCCACCGCCAGGCCAGCCAGCGGCGCTGCCACGCTGACCAGCGCGAGGGAGGTGAGGAGCAGAGGGGGGATCTGGCGGAGGGAGGGAGAGAGCAGGAGAAAGGGAGGCTTTTGAGGCACTGCCGACCGCCAGGCCTGCCAGGGCGCTGCCACGGTGATGAGGGCGAGAGAGGTGAGCAGCAGGTAGGGAATCTGAGGGGCGAGTGGGGAGAGAGGGGGGATTGGGGGAGAGAGGGGGAGAGAGAGTGGAATGGAGGAATATTAGCCATAATGTTACCGTTTCAGGATTCATAGATGTACCTCACTTCTGGTTGATGAAAGTTTGCCTGACATGAGTGAGCCAACTAGACATGTGGGTCAGCGAGCTATGAGTTTACACGAGCTTGTTTCGTCAAATGCTGCACAAAGAAAATCCCAGAGCTCGTTCCGCGCGCCATTTACATCCTGCGAAAGTGCTGGTTGTATGCGCGATCCATGGCATGTCGTGTGATCGTGACTTCGTTTTGAGACGTCTCAAAGCCTGCACACACTCTCACCTCCACTAGCGTGTGAGCCACTGTATAAATCTGCAAAAAGTGCTGGTTGTAAACGCGCTCCTTGGCGAAGATCTTCTTCGTCTGGTTGATCAGCCCCACGGCTGTGCCCCCATGGCACGTCGTGCCAAACGCCAGCACGGCAAAGGGGAATGCATGGGCCGTGGTGGCCTGCAGAAGATTGTTCACACGGTACTGGAAGAAGAGCGAGCCTATGAGCAGCCCCAGGATGGCGGACTGCACAATGCGGTTGAGGGAGTGCGAGGTGTTGCGCCAGTAGAAGAGGTGGATGGTGTGGTGCACTGCCAGAAACTTGCGCAGGCGGCTGGGAGGGGTGGGAGGGGAGAGCGGAGAGGCGTGGGCGAGGAGGGGCTGGAGGGATGTGGCGTGGTGGAGGGCGGTGGGGTGGTCTCCTGCCTTATGCTCCCCTTGCTGCTGGTGTGGATCTCCTGCGGCTGTGACTCCTGCGGCTGTGACTCCTGCTGCTATGACTCCTGCTGCAGCATCCGCTGCTGCTTCGGCTGCTGCAGCGGCGACTGCCTTGTGCCGTAGTGCCCCATCCTCTTGCGCACCCCTCCTTGCGTCTCCCTCTTCCTCCTCGGAATTGCCACCCATAGCAGCAGCATGCGCCCGTGCCACCCCCGCCAGGGCCTCTGCCTCCTCTGCTGCGATGGCTTCCTCGACTTCCAGCGCGGCCTGGGACCACGCCGAGTCAGATGCGGCCATTGAAACGCCAGCACTCTCATAGTCCATGCCACCTCCTCCTCCCATGGCCCTCCACCCAGCAGCAGCAGCACCCCCATACTCAGCATTGCCACCAGCAGCAGCACCGCCGGCAGCAACAGCACCGCTGGTAGCAACCAGTTTCGCAGCCTCCAGGTTAGCAACAGCAGCCCTGGCAGCAAAAGCAGTGGCAGCAGCAGCCCCCCCTCGGCGGAGGGCTGAGAGGCGGTGCGCGTTGAGCATGGCGAGGTCGCTGACTCGGTATTCCACCGCGTAGTCGCACGCCGTGGCGCGCTGGTGACCGGCGTCGCCGAGGAGGTTCTCTATGAAGATGATTGGGTTCGTGTCGGGGGGACCGGGGGGGTGCCAGGGATGGCAGAGAAATACTCCTGCAGGGAGGGGGAAAGGGAGGGCATTGGGAGGAGCGAATGAACGGGGAGGAAGCGGGCGGTGGGTGCCTGGGATAGCATTATAGTACTCCTGAAGGGAGGGGAGATGAGGGGATGTGAAGAGAAGAAGGGACGGGAGGAGATTTGAAAGGGGCTTGGAGGGCGGCAGAGGAGGAAACGAAATGAAGAGAGAGAGATGCAGGGTGAGGGCATGCAGAGCGGAGAGTGAGTGCATGCAGAGCGGAGAGTGAGTGCATGCAGAGCAGAGAGTGAGTGCATGCAGAGCGGAGAGTGAGTGCATGCAGAGCAGAGAGTGAGGGCATGCAGAGCGGAGAGTGAGTGCATGCAGAGCGGAGAGTGAGTGCATGCAGAGCGGAGAGTGAGTGCATGCAGAGCGGAAAGTGAGGGCATGCAGAGCGGAGAGTGAGTGCATGCAGAGCGGAGAGTGAGTGCATGCAGAGCAGAGAGTGAGGGCATGCAGAGAGGAGAGTGAGTGCATGCAGAGCGGACAGTGAGTGCATGCAGAGCGGAGAGTGAGTGCATGCAGAGCGGAGAGTGAGTGCATGCAGAGCGGAGAGTGAGGGCATGCAGAGCGGAGAGTGAGTGCATGCAGAACGGAGAGTGAGTGCATGCAGAGCGGAGAGTGAGTGCATGCAGAGCGGAGTGTGAGTGCATGCAGAACGGAGAGTGAGTGCATGCATAGCAGAGAGTGAGTGCATGCAGAGCGGAGAGTGAGTGCATGCAGAGCGGAGAGAGAGTGCATGCAGAGCGGAGAGTGAGTGCATGCAGAACGGAGAGTGAGTGCATGCATAGCGGAGAGTGAGTGCATGCAGAGCGGAGAGTGAGGGCATGCAGAGCGGAGAGTGAGTGCATGCAGAGTGGAGAGTGCGTGCATGCAGAGCGGAGAGTGAGTGCATGCAGAGCGGAGAGTGAGTGCATGCAGAGCGGAGAGTGAGTGCATGCAGAGCGGAGAGTGAGGGCATGCAGAGCGGAGAGTGAGTGCATGCAGAGCAGAGAGTGAGTGCATGCAGAGCAGAGAGTGAGGGCATGCAGAGCGGAGAGTGAGGGCATGCAGAGCGGAGAGTGAGTGCATGCAGAGCGGAGAGGAGAGTGAGTGCATGCAGAGCAGAGAGTGAGGGCATGCAGAGCGGAGAGTGAGTGCATGCAGAGCGGAGAGTGAGTGCATGCAGAGCGGAGAGTGAGTGCATGCAGAGCGGAGAGTGAGTGCATGCAGAGCGGAGAGTGAGTGCATGCAGAGCGGAGAGTGAGTGCATGCAGAGCAGAGAGTGAGTGCATGCAGAGCGGAGAGTGAGGGCATGCAGAGCGGAGTTTGCAGAAGCCACAGTCAGACTCTCTGCAGATCCCATTGTCGGACTCTCTGCAGATCCCATTGTCGGACTCTCTGCAGATCCCATTGTTGGACTCTCTGCAGATCCCATTGTCGGACTCTCTGCAGATCCCATTGTCGGACTCTCTGCAGATCTCATTGTCGGACTCTCTGCAGATCCCATTGTCGGACTGTACTATAAGGCCTCCGCCATCAAACTGCTACAAAAGTAGGCGGACTGTGAGAATTCCTTGGATACCGCATCTCATTGCAGAAGGCGTGGTCATCTCTGGCGGGGTCATTGCCACGGCGGTGACATCACCACAGCACCACCGCTACAGTCAACATCACCACTACACTCAGCTCACCACAAGCGCGAGGCCGTTCCTCCCTCTCGGGCCAGGGTAGGCCATCCCTTAGGCATGCGACGATTTAGGCGCCTCAAAAAAGGCCCGCCCCCACCCACTCACCACAAGCGCGTGGCCGTTTCTCCCCGCGGGGCCGAAGAAGACCATCTCGCCGCCGCTGCCCAGCATGAGCAGCGAGTGGAAGGCGTTCAGATGGAACGCGGTAACCGCGTTGGACACCACCACCATGGCCCGCCCCCACACGGCTGCCACATGCTGTTAGAGGGGAAGAGAAGGGGGCACGAGAGAAGGGGGCACGAGGGAAGGGGGCACGAGGGAAGGGGGCACGAGGGAAGGGGGCACGAGGGAAGGGGGCACGAGGGAAGGGGCACGAGGGAAGGGGGCACGAGGGAAGGGGCACGAGGGAAGGGGCACGAGGGAAGGGGGCACGAGGGAAGGGGCACGAGGGAAGGGGCACGAGGGAAGGGGGCACGAGGGAAGGGGGCACGAGAGAAGGGGGCACGAGGGAAGGGGGCACGAGGGAAGGGGGCACGAGGGAAGGGGGCACGAGGGAAGGGGGCACGAGGGAAGGGGGCACGAGGGAAGGGGGCACGAGGGAAGGGGGCACGAGGGAAGGGGGCACGAGGGAAGGGGGCACGAGGGAAGGGGGCACGAGGGAAGGGGGCACGAGGGAAGGGGGCACGAGGGAAGGGGGCACGAGGGAAGGGGCACGAGGGAAGGGGGCACGAGGGAAGGGGGCACGAGGGAAACCCAGATGAGACTCTGGGGGTCGCGCACAGGGGACACCACCACCCCCATAGCCCGTCCCCACGCCCCCTCCCCACATGCTGTTCGGGAGGAAAGCCGAGCAGACAGCACGCATTGGGAGGGCGGGTGTAGCGAAGGAAGCGAAGAGAGGAAGAGAGGGAATGGGGAGGATAACAGGGTGGTAGGGACCGACCTATGGGCATGTTCAGACAACTGTCCAAGCATATACATCCTTGTCCCCCCCCCCTCCCCCCTCCCCCCCCTCGTTTCAGCTCCAAGTTCCTGCCCCTTGTCTCACCTTGAGCATGCCTGAGAACTTGGCGACCTCAGTGGTGTCCATCCTGAGAAACGGTGCGTCAAAGAAGATCACACTCGGGTTGCCCGCCATCTCCATCGCAAACACAATGCGCTTCTCCACATATGCCGACCCCACCCCGTCCGCCAGAATGTCCTGCACCAGGCAGTCCGCCACGCCTCCCTTGAACTCCATCAGCTCCAGAATCTGCGCCACAAACGCACGCCGCCGCTTGTCGGGCATGTGCTTAGGCAGTGTGAGCGCGGTGCGGTACAGCAGGCTCTCGCGCAGCGTGAGGAGAGGGTAGTAGAGGTCGGCGCCCTCCATGTACGACGTGTTGCACCGGAAGGACGGGGCGTCCCTGGGCTTGCCGTTCACCAGCAGGCGGCCGGTCAGTTGCCCCGGCACCTTGCGACCTGAGTGGAAGAGAGGCAGCAGAGGAGGGAAGAGAGAGGGTAGATGAGATAGGTTGAGGCGGCTTCAAGCCAGGTCCGCACCCTCCATGTACGGTGTGTTGCCTGGACTGGCCGTGTCTTGCCTGGGCTGGCCGTTCACTAGCAGGCGCTTGGACAGGAGGCTGGGTGGGCCCCCTGCCACCTGAGTGAGAGCAGCGCATGCAGCACACGACAGAGGGAGTCACTGGCGGCTTTGGAGTCATCTCGTCTCGGCAACTCAAGTCTTGAGGAGGATGGATTCGTGAAGGAATCATACTGTGTTGGTAGCACACCAATCTCCGTGGAGGTTCCAACAGACCAATTGACTTGCCAGCTCGAGTGTTGGTTCATGTGTCGAGGCCGCTGGTGCACAGTCGAGTAACTCAGAAGCTCACCTGCCAGGCAGTTGCCGGGGCTCCTGCCCATCCCCTCACGCCCTTCACAAAACAGTGGCTCAGCTCACCTCAAATCCTCTCTTCTGAGCCGACACACACACTCTCCCTCTCTCTCAAGCGGTCCTTAGGTATTAGCCTTATAAGTTGTACATGTACAATTCAGAGATGACAGGCAACATGTGGTCCCCAGCAGCAGCCTTCCGCTACTCTCCCTCTCTCTCTCTCTCACCTGCCAGGCAGTTGAGCAACGTAGTCTTGCCAGTGCTCCTGCCCCCCGCGATAGCCGTGATCTCCCCCGGCTTCACCCACCCCGTCACGCCGCGCACCAGGCTGCGGCTCACCTCGCTCCTCCTCGCCACACCGCTGCCGCCCCCAAGGCCACTGCTGCCGCCCAGAGAGTTCGTCCAGGAGCTCTCTGATTGGCTGGGAAGGGGCAAGGAGCAGGAGAGGCCTTCAAAGGTGATGAGGTATGGGGTGAAGGGGATGTTGGACTCCATCACCGCTGCCTCTGCCTCTGCTGCCGCTGCTGCTGCTGCTGCTGCCGCTGCTGCAGCTGCTGCAGCTTGTGCGGACCCTGCTGCTCCTGTGCCACCAAGAGGCCCCCACTCTGGGCCGCCCTCACCAACCCATGGCAGGGATGCTCCGCTGCCCATCCCTTGCATTGCCACTGTCACTGCCGCTGCTCCCGCTGCTGCCACCGCCTCCCTGCGGCTGCCACTGCCTGCCCTGCAGCAGCAGCAGCTTCTTCTGCCACAGACGCCACTTGAGCAACTGTTTCTGCAACCACATCCGCTGCCCTTCCCGCTGCTGCCGCTGCTGCTTCGGCTGCTTCTGCTGCTGCCTCCCCAACTCTCGCCACACTCGCCCCCATTCCTGTTCCCCCAGAAACCGTCCCTCCCTTGACCCCGTCCTGCCCCTCACCACCCTCGTCCTCCCCCCTGACAATCACGCGCCTCATCCCTCGCTTGCTCTCACTCAGCACCCTCACTGCAGGCGCGAAGCTCTTGTAGTGGCTGGGCTGCATGCACAGGAGCGTGCCCGCTGTCCACACTGCAATCCACGCGAGAATCACGAGCGGCCCAGCGATCATGTACGCCCATTCGAAGTTCCAGCTGAATTCCTCCATGTACGCCTTGCCAATCGGCCACCCCTCCCTCCCCACACAGTACGGCATGGTAGCAGGGACGCGGTCCGGAGCCGGGCAGAATGCCACAGGGACGAATGGCCGGTGCTCGTTAATCACAAGTAACGTCGCTGCCCACTGGATGGGGTTGATCCCAGTATAGCCAGATCCAGAAACTCGGTATAAGCACCTTCGCTACAAGCATGTGGCCGAAGAGGAACATGCCGGGGCCCATGAAGATGGCAGCAGCAAAGGCGGCGGAGCGCAGCGAGCGGGCGGCGAAGGCGATGAATCGGATCATGGCGGCGCCGTGGATGGCTACAAGGGCAAGCACAGCGAGGAAGATGAAGAAGTGCGCTCCATAGTCAGAGAGGCTCAGGCCCGTGAGGAAATACACCAGCACCGACCAGATGGTCGCCTGGCGGGGGGGAACGGGGCCAACGGGAGGAGGTGAGGGGAAGCATGAGAGCACGGCCACTCGAAAGCACAGCGCAGCATGAGAGCACGGCCACTCGAAAGCACAGCGCAGCATGAGAGCACGGCCACTCGAAAGCACAGCGCAGCACTTCCCGTTCCTGTTTTACCCTAGGCAAAGTCACGCCACAGGCCGTTCCTGTTTTACCCTAGGCAAAGTCACGCCCGACCGCTCGAGCCGCTGCTCTTCGCTGCAGCTATTCACCCCGCCCTCCAGGCCACGGCGGATGCCCACCCCTCCGTCCTCTGTTTCGCCTACACCGACGACATCTCCTTCCTGGGCGACCCAGCCGACTGCTCCTCCGCCTTCGCGCACTTCACAGCTGCCCTCGCTGACCTTGGCCTGACGCACAACCCCGACAAGTGCACCGCCTGGTCGGCGACGCGACTGGCGCCGCACCTGCTGCCGCCGGAGGTCCCCTTCTGCACAGAGGGCCTCCGAGTACTCGGCACCCACATCGGACTCCGGAGGGGGCTGCCACCTTCCTTAGGGCCCAGCTCGCCTCCATGGCGTCTCCCTTACCTGTCCTTGCCACCATGGACCCCCAGGTGGTGTCCTTACTGCTCCACCGGCGCATCTCTCGCCGAGTTCTCATACCTCGTGAGCACGACACCCGTGAACCTGCTCCCGACTGCCGAGTGGTCCAGGTGGGGACAAGACCCCTTCTACACGCGCCTCCGGGCATGTGGCCTGCAGACGCTACGAGGGGAAACTGAAGAGCTTCGCACCTGGGCCCAGGCGTCACTATCACCTTCACTAGGAGGCCTGGGCCTCACGGACCCTGCGGTGGAAGGCCCGCACTCCTTCCTGACCAGCGCCACCCACGCTCACGCCCTTCTCGCCTCTCTGCCCGCCGCTGCTGCTAGCCCTCTGACAAAAGCCCTCCGGCCCCTGGCGCCTGCGTTCACCAGCCCCACCATCGCTAGGTTGACAAAAACGCATTTGCAAGTTAGCGTTTTGAGTTTAAACGCAAACGTTTTAACGCAATACTAAAAAACGCATCAAAACGCTCGAACGCACCGCGGAATTTTACCGGGCTGACCGAAGCGAAAAACGCAAAAAAAGAACGCGCGATATCAGAAATCGAAATTGCATTTCGCCGCGCGTCGCGAATCGACAGCACATTTCGCGCGTTGCACATTCGCGAAAATTTTCACAGCGACACATAAACTTGTCAATCTCTCCCTCCCTTTTCCCAACGTGTTTGAATTCCCAACCCATTCCCCCTTACTAGATCCAGATCTATATGTAGAGGAGAACTTGGCTCACCTTCCATGCACAGCAACGATCTACTCCTACCCTTACGTTTTAACTTCCAGCAGCTAACCTATCAGATTTCCAGCCTCTAACATGGCGTCCTCCTCGTTGCCAGTACATGCTCCTCAATCGGATGAGGGCGAGGGTTCCACCGGTGTCACCACGTTCGTCGAACAGTCCGACCATGCGATATTCAAGCACTTTAGGACGGGTGTGGCAGCGGACGGTAAGCTGACAGAGTCGCGAAAGTGTCACTACTGTCCCGCGACATTCGTTGGTGGCACGACGCGCGCCGCACAGCATTTGACGGAGTGGAACGGGATGAAGCGTCGTGGCGTCCACCTCTGCCCCGCCGTTCCCAAGAAAGCTCGTGACGAGGTCAAGGCGCATCAGGAGCGAAACAATGAGTCGAGGGACTGCAGGCGTCGTGCAGAGTCCTTGGCGCTGCAAGCTGTCGGCGGCGACGGGATGAGAGGCCGCATGACCGCTTTTTTCGGTGATGAGCCAACGTGCAATCGGGAAGCTGCGGATGAGGCGATATGCCTCATGTTCGCGGCTCTTCGTCTGCCAGAGCACATCGCGGACAACCCCATCTTCACCAACGCCATCTCCTGCATTGGTCGTGCAGGCGCTTCCTATGTTGCCCCCAAGCGGCGGTACATAGGAGGTGCGGGGCTGCAGACGTGCCGCACACGTGTGGAGACAGCGCTTGGCCCCATCGCCGCCAGCTGGGAGAGGGATGGCGTAACCCTAGCCAGCGACATGATGACTGATGTGAACGGGAGGCCGCAGGCAAACATACTTCTCATCAACGACAGTGGGGCAGTGTTTGTGGAGTCGATCGATACGAACATGGAATTCAAAACGGGCGGGTACATCGCGAGCATCCTCCGCCCGATCGTGCAGCGCGTGGGCCCGGAAAACATCGTTGCGTTCTGCACCGACGGCGGCAGCAATTACGGCGCGGCGTGCAGGGAGTTGATGGCAGAATTTCCCCACATTGAGAAGGTCCCGTGCGCCACGCATGTTTTGGACCTCCTCATGGAGGACATTGGGAAGATGGCGTGGGCGCGGGCAGTGGTGGAGAAGGCGGATTACATCATCGCCTTCGTCCGCAAGCATCAGTTCACGCGGAACTTCATGCGCAACTGCAAGGTGGATGGGGGAAAGACGAAACAAGTTTTGCGGCCGGCCGGTACTCGCTTCGGGACCACCTACATAGCGGTGGGGCGCTTGAGTGAGGTGCGGCGGGCCTTGACGCAACTCGTCCTGAGCAACGAGTGGAAGGATTTTGCTGCTGCAGGGGCGAGGAGGGCAGCGGCAGAGGTGTTTAGCATGGCGGTCATGGATGGTGAGTGGTGGAATGTGGCTGAAGCTTTCACCCACCTCATGCAGCTGCCATTTATGGTGATGCGGGCCACGGATTCGTCGGCGAAGGGAATGATGGGTAAGATTTACGACCTCATGTTGCAACTCACCGTGGACATGGATGACATGCTCGACAAGCGTGGGGAGGAGTTCCTGAACGAGGACGAGGCGGAAGAGATCCGGGGGTTGGTGAAGAAGAGGTGGGATCAAGACTTGGCTTGCCCCTTGCACATGGTTGGCCGGATGCTCAATCCGGCCAACCAAACAGAGGGAATCTTCCGCAAGGATAAGGAGTGCACCACTGTTTTGAAAAAGTTCCTCTCCACCCACTTCGACCGGCGCATGGTCACCCTCCCGAATGGGAGGACAGTGAAGGAATCAGTGGTGCTTCAGGACGGCTTCACCGACTTCTTCACCATGCGCGGCAGCTTTGGCCTTGCCGAGGCAATCGCTGACCGTGCGTTGGTGAAGGCGGGAGAGATGGACATGGTGCGGTGGTGGACTTGGCATGGCACCGACCATCCCGACCTCACCGCCCTCGCTTGCCGTGTCCTCACACAGGCCGTCTCTGCAGCCGCATGCGAGCGCAATTGGGCGGTGTGGGACTCAGTCCACACCGCCAAGCGCAACCGCTTGGGGTCGGAGAAGTGCCGGGATTTGGTGTACGTGGCCCACAACTGGTATGTGGTCCACAACTGGTACAAGAAGGAGGAGGGGCTTGGGGTTGTTGCTGGGAACATCCCCGAGCCCCCCATGCCGGAGGGATACAATGTGCTCGAGGAGGAGGGGGAAGATGATGTGCTTGAGGATGAGTATGAGTAGGATAGATGTACAAGGTCGGATGGAGGAGGCATACATGATGGAGAGAAGATAGGTAGTCAGGAGATGTGGCGGCGGAGGAGGGGGAAGATAATGTGATGGAGGATGAGAATGAGTAGGGGAGATGTAGAAGGTCGGATGGAAGAGGCATAGATGATGGAGAGGAGATAGGTAGTTGAGAGATGTGGCTGTGGATGTGTGTCCTTAGCGTGATGTTAATGTGAAAAGAAAATTTCTGCTGTCCCCTCCTCACCCCTCTCCTCCCCCTCCCCCCCACCCCCCCTATATCCCCAGCCCGGGCAAAAATTTCTGCCTGCCCGGGCAGGCGTTTTCCAAGCATATTTGAATCCTGAAATCCTACGTTTTGCGTCCTAAACGCAAGCGTTCCAAACGAAACGCAAAAACGCAGAAACGCGTTTATGCCAACATAGCTCTGGGCCGGGAAACCAGCGAGCTGCGCGTAACACCCGTGCCACTGATACGCAGTCAACCCAGACACAGCGGCAATTTTCACCAGAGGAGCTGTCGTCCAACGAAACTCTGTTCGCCGGGGTGGCGGGATGGGACATCGACCTGCTGTGCGACAGTCGCCAACCCCCGATTTCCCGCAGGATCCCCCCCAAACTTCGCCAGCTCTTCGCTCTGGCACTTCTGACACCTCTACTCCATATCGCTCACAGGCCAACCAGCCTCGCTGGTTGGCGTCTGTTTCTTTTCGTCCCTCGCCTAACCCTTCACCTGCATTCACCCAAGCACCCTGATTGGGCCGCAGTGGAAAAACGGCTGCAGCACTTCCTGGCAGGCGAATGGCAACTGCTGTACCTGTCAGCAATCGACGCCGTGAATAACCCCCCCGCACCTCGCCACATGGCAGACTCCATAGGCAGGCAAACTCGAGCGGAGGGGCTTGTCCGCCGTGGCAGTCTCAGACGTGCCCTACTGGCACTTGATTCAACACCAGTCTGCGCTTCAACCCCCGACGTCCTCGAAGCGTTGAAGTCCAAGCACCCCGCCCCGCTGACTGAGTCAATCGCCTGGCCCGTCCTTGACGAATCGGAAACAAGCCCCACATTCTCGCAAGCTGAGTTCATCCGGTTACTCAGCTGTTGCAAGAACGGGGTGGGCGCAGGGCCTTCAGGAATGTGTTTCGAGCACATTCGCGAGGCTGCCCTTGCCAACGGAACGGTGGCCAGCAGTCTATACGCGCTCACAATCCGCCTGCTAAAAGGGGACTCCACCGTGGAAATTGCATCCCTCCTCACTGCCAGCCGCCTCATCGCTTTTCCTAAGCCCGGGGGCGACACACGACCCATCGCCATAGGCGAATGCCTGCATCGCCTCATGGCGAAGGCGGGCCTTCTCACCATGACAGAGCAAGCGCATACCCACTTCTTACCTCTGCAGTTCGGGGTAGCAGTACGAGCAGGCGGCGAGGCGATCATCCATGCAGCGCGCGCCTACACAACCGAATTCCCCGCTGCCCTTGTACTCCAAGTCGACCTATCGAACGCCTTCAACAGCGTCGATCGGGCAGCGATAGTCGCAGGGCTCTTCAACTCACCCCTCTAACCACTAATCCCCTTCATCCAACTCGTACGGCGCCCCATCACGCCTCTACCTCGACACAGGCTTCAACAGCGGGCCACTCCTCAGTGCCCGAGGAGTCAGACAGGGGAACCCGATGGGTCCCCTGCTCTTTGCGGCAGCCATGCACCCGGCGCTCCAGGCGACAGCCTCGGCGTTCCCTAGCGTTCTCTGCCTCGCGTATGCCGACGACATCACGCTACTCGGAGAGCCGTCGGCATGCGCGGCGGCGTTCACACACCTCACAGAGGCCCTACGCCCCTTGGGCCTCACGCACAACCCCTCTAAGTGCGCGGCTTGGTCGGCCTCCCGGCCTCCCAGCTCCATGCTCCCACTAGGCATCCCCCTCAGCGCCGACGGGCTGCGCATCCTCGGGAGCCACATCGGCCCCCCCGAGGCAACGGCCGCTTTCCTTCGGGAGCAGTTGGCCGACATGGCCAGACCGCTACCCGCCCTGGCAAACATGGACCCCCAAACCGCCGGCCTCCTCCTCCACCGCTGTGCCTCGCGACAAGTGTCCTACCTCACCCGTACCAGCCCTCTCAGTCTGCTACCCGCCGAGGAATGGTCTCGGTGGGGCCAGGAGCTCTTCCACACCCTGCTCCACTCGTGCAATCTCCAGCTCCCACGGGGAGAGCGGGAACTGTCGCGCACGTGGCAGCAGGCCTCTCTGCCCCCCTCCCTTGGCGGCCTAGGCCTCACAGACCCCGCAGTGGAGGGCCCGCACGCCTTCCTCACCAGCGTCACACAGGCCCACCGGCTGTTGGTATCCCTCCCATCGGACCCGACCGGTCCGCTCGCAGCAGCGGCGTGCTCCCTAGCCCCCCCTTTTAACGGCCCGACCCCCCTCCACTCCTGGCTGATGGAGTGCGAGGAGTCCCTCCCAGCCCCAGCCCTGGCGCTCCTGCAGGCCGAGCGGGCCGATGCCTCTGACGAACCTCTCCAGCATCGGCTGGCCCTGGAGGTGCACGCAGCCCGCTTCGCCCGCCAACTGGCCGCCTCAAGGGAGATGGAACTCAACCCCCTCAGCGGCCACACTCAGAGGCTTCTCTCACTCACCGGGTACGGCGCCGGTGACTGGCTCCTCGCCACCCCCCTATTCCCCTCACTCCGGCTGGCGCCCCCACACTACGCCATAGCCCTGGCCTTTCGTATGGGCCTCCCTTTCCCTGCACCCACGGTCTGCAACTGCGCCAAGAGGGTGGTGATCGAGGACCCACGTCTCCCAAATCACCTATTTCGATGTGGGACTAGGCACGGCCGCACCGACACACACAATGCACTCCGCGACGAATGCATTCGCATGGGGAGGGACGCGCAGCTCATAGTCACAAAGGAAACCGCGATTTACAACCCTGTCGACGGCAAGACCGCTGACCTGGCCGTGCGCGACCAGGACTCAGGGGCGGTCTGGATCTGTGACGTCACCGTCACCGACCCAGTGAGCTCACGGGACCCGCTGGCGCGCAAGGGCCGGGGATATATGGCCCGGGAGCAGGCCGATAAGAAGATCGACGACTACCGCCACAGGGCAGCATACGTCGGATTCTTCCCACTCGCGGTCGAGACGTACGGCTGCCCTTGCGCCGAGGTGCCAACTTTCCTAAAACTCCTGGCACACTCGGCTGCCCGCCGCCTTTTCAACGCCGACCCCAGCTCCTACCAGGCGGCAAAACTGCTAAGCCAGTTCCGCCAGCGCTGGTCCGTCACCCTCCCGAGGGAACAAGCCCTCACCTACCTCGGAAAGGTGAATGAGGCTTCGCCACTCGAGTGGCCACCCCTCGGTGCGCCTGAGGCGGGCATGTCCCTAGGGGACTGCTTCGCTATCATAGAGCACCCTAGGGAATAGCCATAGGCTAGAAGCTCGGCCAAAGGTATCATACTAGCTTGTACCCTCCTTATATGCCTCGCCTGTACCCAGGATTTCCCAGCAATGAAGGACCGTTCGAGAGAGAGAGCAGGGGGGGGTGGGAGGGGGAAGATGAGCGTACAGAGATGACTTGTGGTCCAGAAGAGGAGTGGTGTAGGAGATCCGTGGAGAGGGAGAGGGCGTCATCGTACGTGATTTTTGAGTTGACTCGAAAGTCGTCCAAGAGAGGGGTAGCTTAGGAGATCCGCGGGTTTAGGGGGCATCATCTCTTTATCTGTCTCACAAAGATAGATATGCCCACTTGTCCCCATAAACCCCTACCCAAACACCCCCCCCCCCGATACCACCTCCATAGCTCTTTGTGGGTGTGCATGCGTGCTCCGCAGTCCACGAAATCGCATCCCTGTTTCTCTGCACGACAAACAATCGCCCGTACAGTGTGGGTGGGGCGAAGGCGTCCCAACCCAGCCCCCAAACAACCCCGCCTTCTCCCAGCACCACCTGCATGCCTCGTTGGGGGTGCGCGTGCGTGCTCCGCACCAGGACGTCCCCGTTCATTTGGAGGAAGAACATGCGTCCGTACAGCGCAGGCGGGGCGAAGGTGAGCGCGTGGCAGCGGCCGTGGTCCATGGAGAGAAGAGAGAAGTGGTCCGCGCCGTTGGTGCGGTTGAAGTAGGGGTAGGCGGAGCGCACACGCGTCAGCAGCTGCTGCCACTTCTGGAGAGAGGGGGGGGAGGGGGAAGGGCGAGCAAGGACGGAGGGAAGGGAATGGGGGGATGGAGGGTGAGCGCGTGGCAGCGGCCGTGGTCCATTGAGAGACGGGAGAAGTGGTCTGCACCATTGGTGCGGTTGAAGTAGGGATAGGCGGAGCGCACACGCGTCAGCAGCTGCTGCCACTTCTGGAAAGGGGAGGGAGGGGGGAGAGAGAAGGGAAGGAGGGAAGGGAGGGAGGAGGCTGAAGTGAAGGGAATGGAGAGAAGTGGTATGAGTCACCGCTGCAGTGGGAGTATGGGTATGTGGTGCACATGCAAGCAAGCAGCTGCTGCCGATTCTGGACGAGGAGGAGAAGAGAAGGGAGGACGAAAGGGGGATGAGAGGGGAGGTAAGGGGAGGGAATTGGAGGGGGGGAGGGAGGGAGGGGGGAAGCGAGAGGAGGGAGGTAGTTGGGAGAGAGAAAGGCAGGGGTTGCAGCAGACAGAAATCTCTGCTACTTCTGGTTTCTCCGCACCTTCCCCAACCCCCCCTCACACTCTCCCTCTCCCTTCCCCCCAAAACCTTACTCCCCCCTGCCCCCCTCACCCGCCTCATCCCCCTCATCGTCCTTGTCCCCCCCACTCCCCTTTATCCGGCACCTGTGAGGTGAGCCTGACGGCTAGCTGCTTGTTGGCGTCCCAGTCTCAATCGCTGTTCTCCGTGCCGTTCTTCACAGCGTCCCAGTCGCGGAAGTGGCACGCCCTGAAGAACCGCACGTAGAACAGCGATTCAACCCCCAAAATCCCCGCGCCGCCCGCACTCCCCCCTCACATTCCTCAAACTCTCCCCCCCCCCCCCCCTCCCTCCTCCTCCTCCCTCCCACCTCTGAGGTGAGTCTGATGGCATCTCGCATGTTGAGGTCCCAGTCGCGGAAGTGGCACGCCGTGAAGTACGCCGAGAAGAACGGCATGTAGAACAGTGACGCCTGGGCGGGGTCCCACGTGCGCACTGCGCTCGCTGTCAGGTGCTGAACGCGGGGGGGAAGGGGGGGGGGGAAGGTGGGGGGAGAGACAGAGACGGGGGGAGAGAAAGAGGTGGGGGGAAGGTGGGGGGGAGAGACAGAGACGGGGGGAGAGAAAGAGGTGGGGGAAGGTGGGGGGGAGAGACAGAGACGGGGGGAGAGAAAGAGGTGGGGGAAGGTGGGGGGAGAGAAAGAGGTGGGGGAGAGAGAAAGTTGGGGAGAGGAGAAGATGGGAGCAGAGGGCGACGAGAGGATGGGAATGCGGAGGGAACGAAGGGCCGTCTCACATGACGAGGCTTCTGACAGACTCTCGCGTCACTTCCTCCACTTCCTCCCACCCACCACCCCTTCTCCTACCTCCCGCCCTCCCGCCCTCCCGCCCTCCCCATCCCCCCTCTATCTCTCCCCCCCCCCCATCAATCAACAATTCACCCTCCCCTCCTCCTTACCCCCCTTTCCCCCCTCCTCCCTCCCTTCCCCCCTCCCCCCCCCTTTCCCCCCCTTTTTTTCCCCCTCACGGGCGTCACCTCATACAGCAGTCTCTCCGCGTCATACGCTTCAGAGTACCACGGGGGAATCATTTTCCGCACGTCGCTCGTGAACTCCCCGCCCATATCGTACACGAACACGAACGGTCGCATTTCGCGCGTGCTGTGCTCCTCCGCCTCCGCCCCCGCCCCGCACACGAACCGCGCGTTACCGCTCCCGCCCGCGCCGCCCCCGCCCCCGCCGCGCCACCGCGCCACGGCGAACCCTCCCAGAAGCATCACCAGCAGCGCGCCGACGACAATAGCTACTAACGGGGATGTCGTCACAGCGGTTCCCGTAACAGACCCGAGGCGGACGAGTCGGTTCGCGAGCAGCGCTACGGAGGGCTTGGGGCGCGGGCTGTAGCGATCGTCGTTCTCGGAAATATCTAGGTCCGCGGGGCCCCCGCCAAAGCCGTCCGCGGAGGCCCCGCCGAAGCCGTCTGCGGCCCCGCGGCTGCGCATAAACCCGTTTCCGCGCGCGGCGGGCAGCGGGGAGTACTGCTCCATGCCGCAGCGTTGACCCGATCCGCTGTGTGATGACGTGGACCGGGGAGGGGGACGGGAGAGGGGCGCAGAGGGTCGGAAGAGCGCAGGGGAGGAGGGGAGGAGGGGAGGAGGGGCTGAGGTGTGAGAGCACGCGGGCCCGCTCAAAGCTTGTAAAGTCTCGGTCGCGAATCACAGCGCTTGCAAGGCCGGCACTGCGTGCGTCACACGAAGCGGCGGTGCGGAATAGCGACTAAGGGACTTGCGGCGACGTGGCAGTGGTGACGATGGCGGCGACATTAGTATACCTATTCCACGCTATGGACCTCAGATGAACAGTCCGAACTGCAATTCTCGCCTGATCTTGTCGCCCATAGGGTCCCAATTGCAATTCTCGCATGCTCGTGTCCCCCTACGTTCAGTCCCAACAACCAGGTACCGAGCTGAACCGCATTGACCCCCAAGGTAAGGCCGAAATATTCAACATTTTGCCTGGGAGATACTGTGCATTTTCCGGGCCAAGGTCCTGTCCCGTTTGCCCGTGGTTTGAAATTTCCGGGGAACAGGCCCGAACCACGTGAAAGAACCCGTCTTTTATCATAGAGCAGGTGAATTAAGATCAGCAGTGTACACATTCTCTACGATTCAGAAATTTAGTGTTTTTACGCGGTCGTGCATGTATCTTCCGGCAAAAATGTGCCCGTACACTTCTCGGGCGGCAACACCCGCAATTTTGCGATTAAATAGGGCGGGAGTGGCGCGTCTGTTCTGCCAAATTGTCGGGTGAGCTGCCCCATCGCTAGGGTTGAAAGACTCTCCCGCCTGAAATGGATCCTGTTTCGTAGCTGATGAGCTGTCGCCCGTCGGCAGTCAAACTCTATCATCTGAGATGACGTGTCTTGGAATTAACCCACGGCAAACCTCCTGAACCTTCCACCCTAGAACATTCGCTCTTCACGTGGCGTAATGTCAAGACACTGGCTGACGACAGAAACGCTAGTGTTTTCGTTAGGCAATCACTAATCTGATCATTTCGACGCCTCCCATTGGATGATTCCGAATCTCAGGGATACCTTGAACTGTAGTGCCTTTGGGTGCTCTTACACTGCGTGATAACAGCAGGGCATATACATCATTGTGTCTTAATCCGGATTGTGCGAGTAGCTCGGACGTCTGTAAGAGGGATTATGTGTACTGGCCGTACGGCAAAGGGTGTGCTTTTTTGGGGGGAGTGATGGTGGGGCAAGTCAACTTGAACGATTCTCTAGCGCACATCTGGCTGGAAGGAACCCACAGCTGTGACTGGTTGACGAGCTCCGCGAAACGGATGCGAGGGCTGACGCGAGGGCTGACGCGAGGGCTGTTAATGGCAGTCTTGGTTACAGACCGTCAACAGCAATGGCTGCTTTACTGTACACACCGGAGTTGACTTTCTCTTCTCCCACTGGCTACGCTTGGGATGGACAGGACCAGGGCTAATTTTCGTTTTTCAAGATCCAGGGGTCTCAAGATTCGCGCTACCAAAGACCCTGGAAACTCAGCATTCCCAGGAAACTCTCTCTTTATTTCAGGATCACTTCTGACTTTCGATCTAAAAGTAAGAGTATTTGTGCGACGCCCTGCATATCATGGCGCATTCCTCGCCTGTGGCACACTTTGTAGCAAGATCATTCCAAAATCTCCTCTCATACAATCCTGACTGTACAAAACCTTGCCAAAGCTTGCCACAAAGTAGTCTGCCACATGCGAGGAGCGCGCCCTCAGTAGAACCTGTGGGCAGTCCGAGTAGTCACAAGCAGCATAGATGGAAGGAACTACGGAAGAGAAAACAAAACACACACACTAGCAGCTACCTGCTGTCCCTCATCACCGCACAAAGCTTGATGCTTTCCTTGTCCATCGCGACAGAAATGCCTACAACTTGAAGAGACAGTGTGCAACCTGACTAAGGTGGGGTGATTGGTCTGACAGCCCTGCACGTGCGGCCATGAAAGTTCCACGGGTCGCACCTTCAGATTCCGTGGAAAACCGGTCAGAAGTACATAGGTTTGGGGGGAAGGGGGGGGGGGGGGGTGGCTTGTTGGGGGGTTGCAATTCCAGTCAGGTAGCCATGATTTTTTTTTCGTCCAATCCGGATTGCTCAGGGAATCCCTCGAAAACGTCCGGAATCAGTCAGGGTGTTTGGAAGACCGCAACCCTGAAAGCAAGGATCTCAAGAAGCAGAAAAACAAAACCAAAGGGTTTGGTTTTGGGGGGTAGCAAAAATCGCGAGGTGTGGTGTGGGCTGTTGGAGGCCTCAGTTACTGTTTCGCTTATTTCGTCACCCCGAAACCAAACCCTTTGGATTTGGTTTCGTGCTTCTTGAGATCCTTGCTTTAAGATCAGGATTTCAGCGGGAGGATCCGGAATGTACCTGACATTCCGGATGTTTACCTTTGAACCGAGAGCTCTGGACAGGACCATCCTCTTGGGAAAGACAAGCACCGTACGGCAAGGGATAAGCACCAACTACTGGTGCTAGGGCTATCACTAGGGTGTGCCGCATATTCAAGCCCTTAGAGCGTGTCCAAAGTGTTATTTCTGCGGATGATAGCGGAAGAGAGCGGATGACAGAACGGATGACAGAGGGTGCCAAGCCGTTTTGGCGCGTCCAAAGTGCTGTGCGGGGACCCTGGCTGAACGGGTGACAAATGGATGACAGAACGGATGTCGGGCTACAGTAAAAAAACTGAAAAGTCCGGTCGGGCAGGATAACGGGTCAGTGGACGCCAAAATCTACAGTCAATTGGCGTCATACGCACGAAAACACGCGTTGTGAAATACAGATACAGAGGGTATGCTCTATGCTCCGAATCCGCGACTCGCAAATATGGACTACGACGAATAAGAGCGGTTTATTACGGGCAAAATGGATTATCGAGTAGCATGTACGGTTTAAGGTGGGGTGGCGTAAGCCGTTTTACTCTTTCTGTTCACGATGGGTGCCTTGGCGTATTGGCCCTTGGGCCAAGTTACCAGCGACTTCGCCGCGTGTCATGTGAGGGCTCATATGGCTTCTTAAAAAACGTTCAGCAAATTTGTCGTCTGGTCAGAATTACCGCGGACAATAGAAGTAACACCTCGTTTTCGACTTCTACAAGCAGCATAGGCTCAAAACGCGCAAATCATATAATTTGAAAAACCCTTTTCGTGGTCTCACGAAAAGGTCGTGGTCTCACGAAATTATGACGACTCACCCGCGTGGTTTCGTTAACCAATGATACACTTTCACGAAGGTGAAAAAAACCATTTTAGGAAAACATTTTTGAAGCATTGGTTAATGGTGATTGAGGGACCGTGGGTCGTGTTTTCGTATTCGGGACGGACCTGTTCGTGTCACGCGGAAAGCCTGAATATTTACGTAATTGGTTATGAAATATGGAAAACGCCTCGAATGTTCTTGACACGAGGATTAGAATAGGACCGTAATAATAAGACACAATGGATGAAAGGGGTACGGATTCATGCCCATGTCAGCGCGTATGCAAAGTGCCAGGTGGACGGGGGTACCAGCTGGCTGTCGCCCGCCGGTCCGTCATGAGTACGCCTGATCGCCTTGGCAAGCGCGTATTGGCCGGGAAATTCCAAGCACAATTCACGAGGAATTTCCGAGCTCGCACTCGCGAGTTGGTTGGCGATACTCGCATGCTGCGATCGCACCCAATTCAGGTGGAGCGACTCAATGGTCGGTGGCATTATGCGACTGTTGTGATTGGTCACAATGTTTTATTGCGCTTTTTTAGCGAAGTCTACAGAAGATGTATACCGTACAGACGGAGTACATCGTGGCCGATCTTATCGAATTCCGGACCTTGGAGTATTACATGGAGTAAAATGTCACGGACCTAATGGCATACCCGCTGTAGGAGCAACCCTCGAAACTCGCACATGCATGCGAATCCATGCAACGCTGTCGAATTACCAACGAAAACGTTTCAGCTTCCCGTGTCAGGTTGACGAAACTGACGAGGTAGGGCCCCCGAAAGCGTAACTCTTTTAGTCAAATTTTTGAGTTTCGAATTGTCTGCCCATAGCCGCCCGCAAATGGCACGTGTGGCACTGCTACTGTGGTTGCTTCTACTGCTGGCGTCCGAAGTGCAATTCTGCAGTTACTGTTGTACATCTCTGTCATACTCTCTTAGGGCTGTTCAAAGAGTTGTGAACGATGTACATCTTATACGCTCTAATTCGGTGCCTCGAGTTTTGGAGCGGTGAAACTATAAAGTTGGTTTAAGCGTGTTATTTCCTGCTCCACCGCATTCAGTTTTGGAGGACACGCCCTTGCGACCTTTGGAGAGTGTTACATTTGTTCGTCAGTTATCTAGTCGGAAATGTTTTCCCCACGGCCTGCCCGTTATTGGGTGCAATGTTCTGTTCTTGACACCATATGACAATACCGAATGTGACCAAGGTTGGGGCAAGTGTGCAGTGTGCCCTCCTGCCCTCTCCACGGAACACTTTCCCATCGCAAATGGAAGAATCAAACAGCAGGAAACTTAGCCACAACAGGCTGACCATTGTCAATGCTCTTTTATCGAGCCCACGTGATGCGTTGGTGATTGGCTGTTACAGGTCAACGACCCTAACCAAGCCGTCGCCGTCGCATTCTCCCCAAGGACGAACATGTGACGACAGACTGAACGACTTTGATGTGACGTCCGGACTGCTGTCCTGACCTATCCCCAACTGTCCCAGTAAAATTTGAGAGAAGTCTATGCTAGGGGTGGGAACATAAGGACTTCCAAATAAGGTTTGCGGCTAGAGGCTCCCAAAAATTACCCTGCTACTGGCTGGATCCGCTCGGCCATAGGAGGCGGGTGTCCTAGAAACAAAAAAAGGGGCAGGCATGCGACGTCACAGATCGCTCAATTGCCCTTATGCGACCTTTCAACCGTCGCTGCAGTTTTGCTGCCCTTCCGAACCCACACCCAGTTCCAGTCCCAACAGCTCACACCTTGAAACTACAGAACCAAAGCAAGCCGAGCCACCTTCCTTCTTCCACCCTTCCCACCAAACCCACCTAGTTTTGGCGCCAACTGACACCACCCACCCACCACAGAACTTTTTAGTTGGTAGGAAGGAACATTTTGCGCCTCAGAATAGTCTGCTGCCTTAGTTTATTAACGTTGGACAGGAATGGGGATAATGTTCCGGAGTACTAGGACAACAGCATGGACCCTTATTCATGCCGTCACGAGCAGGAGAAGAGACTAATATATTATGTTTTGTAACCAGGCTAGCTTTATACGTGAGACTGAGGAACGACCTAGTCAGAAGCGAAAATGGAGCCTGAAAAGGCAAGGGATGGAGCGGGGGAAACGGAGCCCGCGTTAACTGCCTTACCATTCGACGTAGCCTGGAATGGAGACCGAAACATTGAAAAGGGAGGTCCCGAGGAAGCAGCGCAACGAGTCAGTCGAATGGACAGTTCTGGTGGTTCCTGTGGCGACGATTCCGGTGTGACCGACGCAGACGGGACGGCGGGACAGACGAGCGACGGTGATAGTGACTCAAGCAAGGTGAGGAATGTTCAAAACAAAAGCAAGGAAGGAATGTTATTTTGGCGAATCAACAGGGTACAAAGGCTTCGAAAGTTTTATGGCATAGAGAGGAACACGTTCCTGAAAAAAGCTTCATCTAGCATTATAAGTACTTTATGTTTCGTGAATTCGTGAGTTATCGACTTAACGGATTTTCCGGCTATATTTGGTTGTCCTCGTTACAAGTGTGAAGCGGGAGCCCCGTACTAGCTTCATGTATCGCCGAACTCCGAACAGCTCGTTTTCGTTTGCCACACTTCTTCCTGCCAATAACCCTTGGGGTTCTCGCCCTGTATCGTCTTATTTGGATAGGGCTCGGGGAACACTCTTTTTAATGCATATCATTTCCCTTGCATATCACTCGTGCACTTTCCTCTCCCCGTTGCGCCATCCCCTTCCCCCTCCTGCTTTTCCTCCCTTTCCACATCCCCCCCCCCATTCCCCCCATCTCTCCTCTCCACCCCCCTCAACCCCCTCTCCCCTCTCCCCCCTCCCCCAGCCGCTGTCCCTGCGCGAGGCCCCTTTCCCCCTGCGCCAGCGCCACCGCCTGCAGCTGCACGTGGCCATACCCGGCAGTCCGGAGGGGCACGATGGGGGCGGGGCGGGGGCGCATGGCGGAACGAATGGGGCGGGGATGGCTGGTTCCGGGCTCGGTGTTAGTGTAGCAAATGTGATAGGCGCGAACATGGGCATGGGGATGGGGGAAGGCATGGGTATGGGTGGTGCAGGGATGGAGGATGGCATTGGTGGCCTTCCATGGAGCATGGGGGGCATGATGGGATGGGGGATGGGGGGAATGGCGTCGTCAGAGGCAGCGGGTGAGCTGAGTCCCCCCAGCAGGGCCGTGGATGCACTCATTGGCAGCTCCGTGGAGTCATTCCTCTTCGATGTACGTTGCCCATGCCATGCCATGCCATGCCATGCTTGCCCATGCCATGTCATGCCATGCTCGCCCTGCCATGTCATGCTCATTGCTCATTGCCCTCCCATTCCATGCCGTACCTGCATGGAAAGGGTATGCCATGTCATGTATGTCATGTGTTACGTACGTCATGGCATGTCATCCAGCCGCATGTCGCATGCCACATGCCATGCCATACCACACCATGTGCAGCACCATGATACGCCATTCCTTCCTCCCCTGCCTCTCCCTCCCTCCTCCATGCCCCCACCCACCCCATCTGACCACACTGCCCGCGTCATCAGGACATGGACGGGCTCTTTGGACCATCCTTCGGCCCCCTCACCTCCCATCCCGTCACCTCCCCTCCTGGCCCCTCCCCTCCCGACATCCTCACCATCAGCCAACCCTCCTCCCCTTCCTCCTCTCTCTCCTCCCCCTCACTCCCCTCCTCGCCCTCTGCTCTCATAAGCCCGCGTTCAGCCAATCAGGGGCTATCCCAGTCACTCGCTCCTCCCCCCAACCACCCGCTTTCCTTTCCGCCTGAGTCTGGGACGCCCGCTGCTGCTGCCACGTCAGCTGCTACAGGGCATGACAGCAACCACGTGTCGCCTCTTATATCAGGCCGCGCTACTGCTGCTGCCAGTCCAGCTGCTGACGCGGATCGTGCTACAGTCAGTTCTACGGGTGCTACAGCCAGTGCTACAGAGGACAGCGCTTGTGGCCCTGCTGCTGAGTCAGGAAGAGCAGCAGCAGCAGCAGCAGCAGCAGCAGCAGCAGCAGCAGCAGCAGGAGCAGGAGCACCAGCAGGAGCAGGAGCACCAGCAGGAGCAGGAGCAGCAGCAGGAGCAGGAGCAGGAGGGGGAAGAGGAGGGGGAGGAGGGAGCGGCACTGCACAAACCAAGCCAGATGGGACTGAGGCAGGGGGAGGGGAAGATGCAGAAAAGGGCTCGCCAGGGAGCGTAATCCAGAGCAGCAGCGCGCCGAGCAGCAGAGGGGTGGGCGTGGGCGTGGCCCACCTTGGCGTGGGGCTGGAGGTGTTCCCCTCTGACCTCCGAAGCCCCTCCGACTCATCCCTGCTCTCCTCCCCCTCGCGCATGCGCCGCCGTAGGCACGGCATTCCAGGGATGGGTGCTGTGGGTGGTGCGGCTGGTGTGAGTGGTGCAGGGCTACATGCCAGGAGAAGCGTTGCCACCAGCACCACCGTCCCTCTGTCTCCGCCTCCTCCTCCTCCTCTTCCGCCTCCTCCCGTTTCGTCTTCTGATTCCGCTGCCATGAGAATCAAGGGCAGGGACGAGAGTGGGGCCAGCAGTGGAAGCGCGAGTGGCCGTGCCCATCTCACCTGGAGTACAGCCAGCAGTGGCGGTTTGACCAATGGCAGTGGTGGTGGTGATACTCCCTGCAAGAGCAGTGGTGGTGATAGTCCTAGCAAGAGCATTGCTGATAGTCTTACCAACGGCAGCGGCGATGGCAGTCTTAGTCCTGGCAGCAGTGTGAGTCCCCGGGCAGTGAATGTGGAGCTCAATTCCCCCAGCTTTTCCTCCTGGCAACTCTCCTCTCTCCCCCTGCCTGCCGTCCCCCTCCCCTCCTCCTCCCCCTCCTCCCTCTCCTCTCCTCCGCCTCCCTCTGTGCACGCGCCTGCTGCCACTGCTGGTGATGCTGCTGTTGGTGGTGGTTCTGGTGTTCGAGAGCCAGTGTATTCAGGTGGTAACGATTCGTCCAGCGAAGCTGTGGCCATGCGCAGCATCACAACACAAGCAGAGCCAAGGGCAGATGGCTGGGGACAGGGACAGGGACAGGGGGCGCAGGCACAGGCACAGGCACAGGCGGAGGCACAGGGGCCGGGACAAGGGGAACAGGCAGGCGCCAGTACTGGTGCTGGTGAGCGGCAGCAGGCACGAGGAGGGGTGGCGGACGACGAGGCGCTAGCAGCAGCGCAGGTGGAAAGGCAGACAGCTGCACAGGCCGAGGCAGAGGCAGAGGCGGCAGCAGCCGTGCGCGTGCATGGCATGGGGGCGTTCGGGGGGACTATCTACAGCTACACTGGCGGCCACATCAGCAGCAGCAGCAACAGCAGTGGCAGTGGCAGTGGAAGTGGCAGTGGCAGCAGTGGCAGCAGTGGCAGCAGTGGCAGCGGTGGCAGCAGTGCTTTTCCTGATGCGTCCGCCACTCGCCTCACCCTTCCAGCCTTCACCAGTAACGACCTTCCCTGGCGCAGGAAGAAGCCCCCTCCCCCGTTCAGCCAGCCGCCAGGGCTTGCAGTGGGTGAAAGGGCGCGGGGAGGGGGGGGTGAGAGCGGGGGAGGTGAGGGAGAGGGCGGAGGAAGGGCAGCAGCAGCGGCAGCGTTAGGAGGCACTCCGTCCCCTCCCTCATCTCCCGAAGTGCCTCATTTCACCCTTGAACCAGCCACCCTCATATCTTTGTCACATAGGAGGGGAGCAGGTAGTGAGGGCAAGGAGGGGCATGCAGGGATCGTAAGTAGGAGCAGCAGTGGGGGGGGGGATGCAGAGGAACGAGAGGGTGAGGCCCAGGAAAGCAGAGGGAAGGCAGGTGAGGAGGAGGAAGTGGGGAGGGATAGAAGGGGCAGCAGGCACAGCAGCAATGACCAGGGCAGTAACAGCCAGAGTAACGAGAGCAGCAGCAGAGGAGGCACTAGCAACACGCGGCATGCAGTATCCACCTCTCTCCTTGATGGTTTCTCATCTCTAGGTGCCGGTGCCGCTGACTCCATGCCCCCATCCCACTCTGAGTACGATGAGCCCACCTCTCGCTCCTTCCCCTCCATCCGCGCCCTCCTTCAAGCTGCTTCCTCCGCCGCCTCTTCTGTTCCCTCTGCCTCCTCCTCCGCTCCCTCTGCCTCCACCTCTGCTGCGCTCACATCTGCTGCTGCGCCTGCTGCCGCCTCCTCAACTTCCTCACCTCCTCCTCACGCTTCTGCCCGGAAATTTCAGAAGTCGGGCCGGAATTCTGTTTCCCTGCCCAACGCCGCTCTTTCCCGGGCAGCGGAAACTGCCCTTGCAGCAGGCCGTGGGGGTGTAGGGCAGGCAGGGGGGGGTGAGAGTGATAGAGAGGGGGAGAGAGGAAGGGAAGAAGAGAGGGACAGAGACAGGAGTCTGTCCGGCTCCCCTCTCGCTCACACCTTCCATGTTGCCGCTCCGAAGAATCTGCGACACTTGGTGGTGGCAGCAACCTCAGCAAAAACCGCGTCCGCGTCAGCATCATCACCAACATCGTCAGCAGCATCAGGTGCAGCAGGAGCAGGAACCTTCCCAGAAGAACCGGCCGTCCGCTCGCCTCGATGGGCCTCTCTTGACGCCCCGGCCTCCCCTCGAATCTCCTCCTTCCTCTCCCCCCGCCGCACGTTTCGCCACGAGATGAGGAGGCAGCGGTGGGGGGGAGGAGCGAGGGAAGGGGGGAGGGAGGGGGGGGAGGGGTCTAATAGTGCGTCCTCGTCACCTTCTGCCTCCCCTCGGGGGTTCAGAGAGGGTTTGGGGTTCAGGGGCGGGTTTAGGTCTTTGTCTGTTGGGGAGGAGGTGGGGGGGAGGTACGCTGCTGGGGTTAGTGGGCTTAGGCCGGTGGACGGGGAGAGGAGGGTGGAGGAAGGGGGTAGGACGGTTGGGGGGAAAGAAAGGTTGGTAGGGGAGGAGGGGGAGGGGGAGGGGGAGGGAAAGACAGGGAAGAGAGGGGATGAGGGGCATGGTGGCCCGGATCAAGCAGGGCAGAGGGTTGCTGGAGCAGCAGCAGAAGCAGAAGCAGAAGCAGAAGCAGGGCAAGGGACTGTTGGTGCAGGTGAAGCTGCGGCTTCTGCTCTCCCTGCTGCGTTCCCATCCGGTTCCACCCCTCCTCTCCGCTCCATGGTCCCCCTGCTTCACTCCCTCATTACACAGCTAGACCTGGCTGGCTTGGCCAAGGGAAATGATGAGGGGGAGCAGCAGGAGGAGACGGAGGGGGCGGGGGATGGGATGAAGAGGGAAGGCGCAGGAGGCAGGGGTCGTTCTGGGCAGCGCATTGGGAAGAGAGAAGCAGCACGGGATCTGGAGCAGGCGCTTAGGAGGTTCCTTGGAGCGATTGGGGAGCATGGGGAGAGCGGGGAGAACGGGGAGAGCGGGGAGAGTGGGGAGAGTGGGGAGCGTGGGGAGCGTGGTGGTGGAGACAGAGTGGTGGGGCGGAGTGGGATAGGGCGAGTGACGGAGAGTGGAGATGAGGGAGGCGAAGGAAAGGAAGGGGCGGAAAGAGCGGGTGGTGACGACGAAAAGGCATGGAAGGGGGGTGCGGATGGTTCTAGAGCTTCAGGTGAAGCTGGTTCAAGGGAAAAGATAGGCGAAATGACAGCTGAAACGGCAGGTGAAACGGCAGGTGAAACGGCGGGTGAAACAGTAGGTGAAATGGCAGGTGAAATGGCAGGTGAAATGGCAGGTGCTGGTGAACGGTTGGATGTGGCCGAGGAGAGCGGCACACGCTCGACAGAAGAGAGGTTGTCTGGTAGGACGGATGGTGATAGGAGGTGGATTGGGGAACATATGGAGCAGGAGAGACGACGGGGAGAAGAGAAGGGAGGGGGGAGGAGGGAGGAGGAGAGGGGAACTGGAAAGGTAAGGCTGGGAGAGGATGGTATGAGCTTGAGTGAGGATGGTAAGGGGTGGCTGGTGGAGGGGGGAGGGTTGACTGTGGAAGATATGGAGAGACACTCTCGGAGTGAGGGGTATGTGCAGGGAGGCGTTGGGCTGGATTGGGGAGAGGTGACGGTTAGAGGCGAGGAGAATGGTATGGAGGAGGAGGGGAGGGGGGATGAGAAGGGGAGAGGGGAAGGGGAGTGGAGTGGGGAGGGGAAGGGGAGAGCTGACGAGGTACTGGTGGGTGCAGGGGAGGGAAGTAGAGAGGAAGCAAGGGCGTCGAAGGTTGCTGAAAAGGAGGAAGGGGAGCACGACCAGACAGAGAAGGGGAAGATGGGAGAGAGGGGAGAGAGGGGAGAGAGGGGAGGGAAGGTTGAGAGAGACGGCTTTGTATCATCTAGGGAGTTTATTTATGAGGCACCCGAAAAGTCGTCTTATGAGGAAAAGGGAGAGAGGGACGAGAGGGACGAGAGGGATGAGGAGGAAGAGAGGGAAGAGAGGAATGAGAGGGACGAGAGGGACGGCGACTCGTCTGAGGAGGAGTTTTACGAGGCAGAGGAGGGCGCAGATGGGATTAGCCTGGGCGAGGAGGACGAGGCCGTGGTGGACGCCTTCCTCAAGGACCAGGCCGGGGAGGACGCGGGGCAGGGGCGAGGGGGGGGGGAGGGGGAGGGGCGAGGGACACGTGGACGGGAGAAAGGGGAGGCCGCAGGAGAGAGGGGGACAGGGGGGGGAGGTGGGGTGGGGTTGACGGTTAGTAGTGTGGGAGTGGAGAGTGGGGAGAGTATGAGGGGTGTGCTCGAAAGCCATCATGGCTGTGGTATAACCCCCTGTGCGGACAGTGGGACGATCAGTGATGATAGTGGCAATGCCAGCACAGTCGCTGCACCGTCTGGGCTTGGGGAAGAGGCAGAGGCAGCGCAAGAGACAGGTTGGGGAGGGGCAGGGGCGGCATCAGAGGCAACAGCAGCAGCAGCAGCAGCAGCAGCAGCAGGGGTGGCAAAAGGAGCAGCAGCAGCAGCAGCAGCAGCAGGGGCGGCAGTAGGAGCAGGAGCAGCATGTGTGGGGAAGGGGAGTGAGCTTGAGGGGCGGATAAAGCTTGGGCTGGAGCTAGCAGGTGGTGCGAGTGAGGTGTGTGCTGAGAGCACTGCAAGAGGGGGGGAAGAGGAGAGGGGAGAGGAGAGGGGAGCGGGGAAGGGAGAGGAGAGAGGAGAGGGGAAGGGAGAAGAGAGGGGAGAGTTGAAGGGAGAGGAGAGTGGAGAGGAGAAAGACGATATGAGGGGAGAAGAAGGGCAGGTGAGCGGAAAGGCGCAGGGTGACAATGCCCAGCACCACAAGGCGGAGGAACAAAGCAATGGAGTGCAGATCGGTGCAGGTGGTTTGAAGGGGGCAGAAGGCGGTGAGAGGAAGGAGGGGAGTGGGCTGGATGGCACAGCGTGTGTTGAGGACAGTGCCAGCAGTGGGGCTGGTGGGGATGGTGTAGGACCAGCGTTGAAGCGTGTAAGACCAGGTGCTGAAGCGGATTTAGATGTGGCGAAAGAGAGTGGAGGTGGGGGAGTAAATGGCGTGGAGCGTAGGGAGAGAGAGGCAGCAGAGGGGACGACTAATGGAGACGAGTCACGTGGGCCTGGCACACACAGCACAGAGGGAGGTGTAGCAGGGGATGCAGGTGGGTCATTGTTGCCTGGAGGCACAGGATTCGTACCAGCAGGAGAACAGGACAGGGCACCTGCGGCAGCAGCACAGGTCGACGCGGGACATATATCACCATCATCACTCCATTCACCAGCACTGCATTCACCAGCACTGCATTCACCAGCACTGCATTCACCAGCACTGCATTCACCAGCACTGCATTCACCAGCACTGCATTCACCAGCACTGCATTCACCAGCACTGCATTCACCAGCACTGCATTCACCAGCACTGCATTCACCAGCACTGCATTCACCAGCACTGCATTCACCAGCACTGCATTCACCAGCACTGCATTCACCAGCACTGCATTCACCAGCACTGCATTCACCAGCACTGCATTCACCAGCACTGCATTCACCAGCACTGCATTCACCAGCACTGCATTCACCAGCACTGCATTCACCAGCACTGCATTCACCAGCACTGCATTCACCAGCACTGCATTCACCAGCACTGCATTCACCAGCACTGCATTCACCAGCACAGGCTCATGCAGCGACCAAAGGAACACCGCCGCAAGAATCGCAAGCGTCAGCGCTGGGAAACTTGGCAGCAGAAGGGCCGGGCTTGGGTGTTGCCGCCTCCCATGAAGGCCCGGCGGCCTCTCCGCCCTCTGCCCGAACCACGCTCACTTCGCACCCATTATCTGCTTCCGCTGCACCTGCACCTTCGCCCCCCACAGCCGTTACGTCGACTACAGCTGCTCCACCCTCTACACCTGTCACACCTGTTCCACCCGTGGCATCTGTAACACCCGTTACATCCGTTACACCTGCCACACCTGTCAGCACCCCTGCATCCACTCCCTCAGCACCCTCCCCTCTGCCAGCCACACCCCCTGCCACCACCATGACTCCCCCAAGGGTGCCAGGGACCATGCAGCTCCAGATGCCCTCCCAGAAGCTAACCCCCACCAATATCCTCCCCCGCCCTGCTCCCTCCAACGCCCACCCTTCCTCAAACCACCAGTCCCCCTCCTCCCTATCCTCTCACCCCCCTCCTCTGCACGCCTCCCCCCCTCTTTCCCACTCCTCCCCGCCATCCCACTCCTCCCCATCGGCACACTCCTCCTCCCATTCCCCTTCCGGCCAGAGCAAGTGGGGGGCAGGGGTCGCTCTTCCCCGGCCCCTGCGCTCTGCCACTGTCAAGGTCTCCTCCTCCCTCTCTCTCTCCGCTGCTGGCTCGCGCCTCATCTCCCGTGTTCGCTCCGTCACGCGCTCTAGAAGCACGGGGAGGAGTGCGGGTCTAGCGGTTACTGGAGGAGGGGCAGTCAGTGGGGATGGGGGGGGTGGTGCAGGGTCAGGGGGGGTTGGGAGTCCAGGGAGTGAGGGAAAGGAAGGGGGAGAGGAGGAGGGGAGTGAGGTGGGGAGCGGAGGTGAGGGTTCGAGTAGCGAGGCGGTTGGAAGGGGTTTGGATGAATTAGAGAGAGGTGCTGGGGGGGATGCGCTGGTAGTGGGTTTGACTGTTGGCGATGTTGGTACACGGGGTGAAGCAGGGGTGATGGAAGGGGGACGAGGTGGGGAGAAGGAAGAAGTGGAGGCGAGAGAGAAGGAAGAAGATGAGAAAGCAGGAGGAGATGAAGTGAGGGATACAGGCGGGAAAGGGTTGGACACGGAGGAACAACTACCGCAGCTACCACAGCCACAACCACAACCACAATCGCAATCACAATCACAGTCACCACAGCATCGGCAGCAGCAGCAGTATCAAGGAGGAGGCGACGCTAAACATGGAGACATGGACAGCTCGACTTCTCCCCTGCACACCATGGTAAGCTGCTTCATCTGCTCGTGTGAAACATTCAGAGGGAGAGTACGGGGGGGGGGTGGGGAGAGGTGAGGGGGGGGGGGGTGGGAGGAGGAAAGGGGGGGTTGTGGTGGGGAGGAAGAATACGGTGGCATTCCCGCTTGTGTTGCATGTCCGCACCTCCCGTACCTCACGTTTCAGGATGTTGACCTTCTGATGCCCCCCTTCCATAGCTCACTTCACACAGCCCTAAGCACATTGTTGCACATTGTTCCGCGTCTCCCTCCACTTACCCCCCCCCACCCCCCTCTCTCCCTCCACTTACCCCCTCCTCCCCCCTGGCGCACCAACCATCCTATCATGCATTCAGGACTCACTAGCTGCGGCTCGTCGACGAGCCGGCTTCACTTGTTGTGTGCGGCCGCATGTGAAGGAGTGAGGGGGGGACGAGCAGCTGGCAGTGTGGCACATCATTTTACACCCAATACTTACTAACCGCTGGCCACTCTAGCATGTTTTAGTTTGAAAATGCATCCATGCATACTCTGGTGTTGGCCTTCTGATTGTTGTATTGTGATGGGCTAGATCGTAGATAACATCTAGGGGGGAAGAATTGCCGATATCCTACCGATTGAATGGTTTGTACGGAGAAAGGCTGCATCTTCCCCATAACGCGTACGGCTGATTGCTGTCGGCATCCATCTGTCCCGGTGCACTGCATCCAGCGTTCCTGCATGAACCCGCTAACCGCCCCCTGGCGAACTGGCGAACAGGGGAAATCCCATTCCCATCCACCATGTGTGCTTGGGGGTACACCACCACTTCGGTATGGAAAAACCTCCACCTCTATTATTATTACTGTAATTGCGGAAAGCTTCAACCATCGCATCCAATTCTCCTCGTCCTTCACACAAGCCCACAAGCCACGATTGCGATTGAGAGGCTTGTGGTGCAGTAGTAGACCGCTGGGAACACAGCGCTACATCGCGGCTCGTGCGATCTCCCCTGTCGTATCTCTCTTCATGTTTTCCGCGCCTCATTCTGCCAGCAGCGTCGAGAATTCGGGTATCGAGGAACCCCTGCTTCAACGCGCCGTCGCGGCAACATCGCCGGCGGATGCGGGCGGATCAGTAAACGGCGAGGTGACGTTATCCGTCAACGATTCGTCCGCGGGACTGAATCCGTCATCTTCGTCTTTCTCGGACGGTCATCTCCGTCCCGATCCGGACCAGCCGTCTCACGCGAAGTTCTCCGTCCGCCATCTGACCGTCCGATCTCCGAAAGGCGACGGATCTCGTCCGCTCCTGTCTGACGTCAGCCTCGAAGTTCCACCTGGCGAAATCACCGCTCTTGTCGGGCCTAGCGGCAGCGGCAAGACCACCCTTTTACGCACTCTTAATCGCCTCACCGAGCCGCCTTCTAACTCCGTGTTCCTCGATAACACCGACATAACTTCGTCGAAGCTTCCCGTAACCTCCCTCCGGCGCCGCGTTGGCATGCTCTTCCAGACCCCGAGCCTCTTCGACGGCACTGTTGCCGACAACATCAGGTTCGGACCGAACCTCGAGGGTCGGCAGATCCCGGACGAGAAGATCCACGAGTTACTTAATCTCTCCGGGATCGAGCAGTCATTCGCGGAGCGCGATTCGCGGAGCTTATCCGGGGGACAGGCGCAGCGCGTGGCGCTGGCGCGCGCTCTAGCGAACGAGCCCGAGGTGCTGCTATTGGACGAGCCGACGAGCGCGTTGGACCCCGCGGCGACTCTTAAAGTGGAGCAGGCCGTGCAGGCGCTGTGCCGCGGGCAAGGCTTGACGGTGGTGTGGGTCAGCCACAGCGCGGAACAGGTACGAACTGTTGGCTTGTGGAGATGCGCACAGGGGAAAGACGTCGGGGGGGAATGGAGCTTGGAACGAGCATTGTATTCCTAAAAAACAAAACAAAATGCTGGGAATATAAGGGAATTTGATAGTGGAAGTTTGCAGGGGCAGTGTTGCCTTGATCTCTGTTCCCGTCCCTGCTGTCGTGCCTTCGTGGTGCTTGTTCTCCATGCCGTCAAGTCCCATCTCTCCTGTCAAGCAATCTCACGTCCCAGATTCTCACCTCTGCTGCTTTTTTCCGCCCCTGTCTTCCACTCGCCTTCCCTCTCCCCACTGCTCCGTCTCCCACCCCCCCTGCCCACCCCCTCTGCTCCATGTACGCGTTACAGGTGCTCCGCGTCTCGCACTCCCTCGTTCTGCTGCACAACGGCGCAGTAGCCGACTCTCTCCCCACCTCCCTGCTCCTCTCACCAGACCCTGCTCTCCGTGCCGCCCACCACCTCGCTCACGAGTTCCTGGGCGGCTTGCTGGAGGGCAGTGCCGACCGGGAGTAACAAACCCGAGAAAGTGGGGCCACGCAGTGGGACTCACAGACCGTTACAGAATTCACCAAGTCCTCTCAAGTCGTTAATTACCCAGCAATCATGGCTCTTCTCTCCTCCCTTCTCGCATCGTCCTCCGCCTTTCTCCTCCATGCCGCCGTCTCCTTTTGGGAGGATGACGTGGCGGCGTTCCTGGCGGGGATGGGCCGCACTCTTGCAGCCACAGCGCTAGTGGCAGCAGCCATGCTGCTATCCCACATCAACTCCCTCGGCCTTGAAACCGACATGCTCCTCTCCTCCCTCAGGGCCTTCTTTCAGCTCTGCGCCATCGGCTTTGTCCTCAATTTTGTCTTCTCCATTACAGGGATAGTCTCGCTGCCCCTCATTTTCCTCACCTTCTGCTTCATGGTTACAGTCGCCGGGGTTACTGCAGCATCGCGTGCGTCGCTCGCGTCTCTGCGCCTCGTCACATGTGCCTCCATCTTCATCTCCTGCTCGCTCTCCCTAGTCGCCCTCCTGCTGCTTCGGATATTCCCTGCCACTCCCCGCTTCCTTATACCAGTATCCGGTATGCTTATAGGGAACGCTATGACGGCCACAGGGGTCGCACTGCGCAGGTTGCGAGAAGATCTTAAGTCAAGTGCGGCGCAGGTGGAGGCTGCATTGGCCCTGGGAGCAAATCCCATGCAGGCTGCAGCAACACTGAGGAGAAGGGCGCTAGTGGTTGCTCTAGCCCCACTGCTTGACTCTACCAAGACTGTGGGTCTGATCTCCCTGCCTGGAGCCATGACAGGGCTTATTATGGGTGGAGCATCCCCGTTTGAGGCAACTCATTTGCAGATTATTGTCATGTACATGCTCATGGCAGCGGCGACTGGGAGCAGTGTGCTTGCAGTGTCCTTTGCATGGGGACACTTTTTCACACCAGCATTTCAACTCCGAATGGCATCTTTGGTTTAAGCCAACATTTGTTTGTTTGTAATGACGTGAATACGTGTGTGAGAAGACCTTGTTTCATTATGTAAATTTGAAGTGTTCCACTTTTACTATTGAGGAGTTTTCTTGTAATGCAGTTTTTTGCATCGTCGAAGCACGCTATTCGCCCTTCTCCGACTACCGTATATAATGTGGTTGGAGGTAATTGTCAAACATGTGTATTTGTCATGTTTGTATAGACTGTATAGAGTCACCTCTTAGAGGTTACAAAACTTAGATATATTTGTGTGTACTCTCACTTTACTTTCATTCAATTATTCTGATATGGTATCACGCGTAGGTAGGATCCCCCCCCCACCCACCGCTTCCGCTCATGCCCCCTAGCGCCCCACCTGGGCCCCGTCGCGCTCCTCCCAGGCCCCGTCGCGCTCCTCCCAGGCCCCGTAGCGCCCCTCCTGGGCTTCGTAGCGCCCCTGCCAGGCCCCGTCGCGCTCCTCCCAGGCCCACTAGCGCCCCTCCTGGGCCCCGTCGCGCTCCTCCCAGGTCCCGTAGCGCCCCGTCGCGCCCCTCCTGGGCCCCCGTAGCGCCCCTCCTGGGCCTCGTCGCGCCCCTCCTGGGCCTCGTAGCGCCCCTCCTGGGCCCTGTACCGCCCTCCCAGGCCCCGTCGCGCCCCTCCCAAGCCCAGTCGCGCCCCTCCCAGGCCCTCTAGCGCCCCCCCTGGGCCCCGTCGCGCTCCTCCCAGGCCCCGTAGCGCCCCGTCGCGCCCCTCCTGGGCCTCGTAGCGCCCCTCCTGGGCCTCGTCGCGCCCCTCCTGGGCTTCGTAGCGCCCCTCCTGGGCCCTGTAACGCCCTCCCAGGCCCCGTCGCGCCCCTCCCAGGCCCCCTAGCGCCCCTCCTGGGCCCCGTCGCGCTCCTCCCAGGCCTCGTAGCGCCCCTCCTGGGCTCTGTCGCGCCCCTCCTGGGCCCCGTCGCGCTCCTTCCAGGCCCCGTAACGCCCCTCCTGGGCTCTGTCGCGCCCCTCCTGGGCTCCGTAGCGCCCCTCCTGGGCCCCGTCGCGCCCCTCCTGGGCCCCGTAGCGCCCCTCCTGGGCCCCGTCGCGCCCTCCTTGGGCCCTGTAGCGCCCCTCCTGGGCCCCGTCGCGCCCCTCCCAGGCCCCGTCGCGCCCCTCCCAGGCCCCCGTAGCGCCCCTCCTGGGCCGCGTCGTACCCGTCGCCGCCGCCCGGCCCCGTCGTGCCCGCCCGGCGCCGTCGCGCCCGCCCGACCCCGTCGCCGCCGCCCGGCCCCGTCGCGCCCGCCTGGCGCCGTCGCACCCTGCCCGGCCCCGTCGCGCCGCCCGGCCCCGTCGCACCCGCCCGGCCCCGTCGCCCCCTGCCCGGCCCCGTCGCAGCCGCCCGGCCCCGTCGCACCAGCCCGGCCGCCGTCCCGCTCGCCCGGCCCCGTCGCACCAGCCCGGCCCTGCCGCACTCGCCCGGCCCCGTCGCCCCAGCCCGGCCCCGTCGCGCCCGCTCGGCCCCGTCGCCCCGTCCCGGCCCTGTCGCACCAGCCCGGCCCCGTCGCGCCCGCCCGGCCCCGTCGGGCCAGCCCCGGCCCCGTCCTCCTCACTGGTACGGTTCCCCCCCCCCCCCCCCCCCACCCCGCCCTGCTCCGTGCCGCCCTGCACCGCACTGCACCGCACTGCACCGCACTGTACCGCACTGCACCGCACTGCACCGCACTGTACCGCACAGTACCGCACTGCACGGCACTGCACCGCACTGTATCGCACAGTACCGCACTGCACCGCACTGCACCGCACTGTATCGCACTGCACCGCACCCCACCTAGCTGCACCGCCCTGCACAGCACTGGACTGTTCCTGATGGCGGCGGAGCTTCGCTTCGACGCTGAAGGTCAGCCCCTAGAGTTCGAGGCGTGGCTTGCCGACCTCCGCCGCCAACTCACTGGCCAGCGGCAGGATGGTGAACCGCTTTCCGCACACCTTGACGGTACGCTCCCCTGCCCTGACCCTCCTGCTATTCTGCCCGCTGACCCCACACCCACTGAGCGTGAGTCTACTGCTGCCACTGCCCGTGCGCGCTCTGTCTGGCTTTCTCGCGATGCTGTCGCCCAGCTTGCCATTAGCAACGCCCTCCCCCCGTCCGAGCGTCCTCGCTTTAGGTCCCTCACTACTGCTCAGGCATACTTAGATGCTGTCATCAAGCGCTATTCCACCCCTCCGGCTGCCTCGGTGGGTCGCCTGATCCTCCCGCTGCTCTTTCCTGACCTTGCTTCGTTCCCCACTGTCTCTGACCTCGCTGCCCACCTGCGCTCGATAGAGGAGACCTGGCGCGCCGCCTGCACTGACGCACAGCTTAGAGCCCACCAGCCGCCCATTACCTCAACCCTCTACCTGCTTGCCACCCGCCTCCCTGACCGCCTTGCAGTCGCCCGTGACCGCTTCCTTAGTGTTCACCCCGCAGACCTCACCCTCACTGACTTTGTCGACACCCTGACTGTGATACAGACCCGTCACCGCTCCATCGCCCAGGCGAGCGGTGTCGTGCCGGTCCCTATCTTTCAGGGTTGTGCCCCCGCTCAGTGTACCTTCTCCGACGGCTCTGCCGCAGTGGCTGAGACTGCTGCTGCAGCGCAGGCCCGTTCTGGGAAGGGCCGCCGCCCCAAGGCTGGGCGCGGCGGAGGGGGCGGCGGGGGTGCGGGCGGGGGTAGTGGTGGGGTCGGGTCGCCTGGTGCTGGAGCGGACGAGGGGACCCTGCCCAGTCCAGCTGAGTCGCCGCCCCTGCAGTTGCAGCAGCCGCAGCAGCCGCCGCAGTCGCAGCCTTCGCAGCAACTGCAGCAGCCGTCGCAGACGCGGCAGACGAGTGTTCTCCCGCCAGGGTGGCCCGGCGCTGGCGGTGGACGGGCGCGTGGTGGTGTGCCGCGTGGTGGCTCTGCCGGCGGGCGTTGTCAGTACCAGATCCAGACCGGTCCTCGCCGCGGCTTCGTTTGCGGTAAGATCGGTCACTCCACTCCCCGCTGCTTTCGTCGCCTGGACGACCTCTTTCGTCAGCGTTTCGGCCCGTCGCCAGACCTCCCGGACTGGCACAGTTTGCTTAGTCGTCAGATTCAGATCTTTGATATGGACATGGATGCCATTGTTTCTGCTCTGCATGTGATGTATGCTGATGACTCTAGTGTGCTTCCGACTTATTACTCACTGTTGCCTAGTGTAGGTGTGCCTAGCTTCGCCTCCCCTGCTGCGTCAGGCGTAGGATCCTCTGCTTTGTGTAGTCTTGGTGCTTCTGCCGTCGTTCCGTCGCCAGACCCCTCGGCTTCGCTTTCCTTCACCTTGGACTCTGGCGCCTCTCGGTGTTTCTTCCGCGACTCCACCACCCTGACGCCGCTTCCTGTTCCTGCTGCCGTTTCTCTTGCTGACCCCTCCGGCGGTCCGGTAGTCGCCCGCAGTTCCACCACCCTTCCCTGTCCGGCGGTTCCTTCGGGCTCTCTTACAGGTCTGCATATCCCCTCGTTCTCCAGGAACCTAGTTGTTGTCGGCTGCCTCCAGGACCTTGGCGTCACCACTACGTTCCCTGGTCACGAGCGGTATGCTATCTGTACCGAGGCCGCCACTGGTGCCCCCCTGTCCACGTTCCCCCGGGACCCGGTGTCCGGCCTGTTCACTCTGGACACCGTGCCCCCCCCGGCTGGAGCGCCCCCTCAGGTGGCTGTGTCTCCCCAGGTTGCTGCTGCCTGCTCCTGGCGCTCCCTCACTCACCCGACCCTCCTGTGGCACCACCGCCTAGGTCACCCTGCGCTCCCGCGTCTGCGTCACATGTCCCAGCACGGTCTTCTCCTTGGTCTCCCAGGTTCACTCCCCGCGTTTCCCTCCTCCCCAGCTCCACCTTGCACGCCTTGTGTCGAGGGTCGGCTTCGCCGTGCCCCTCACTCCTCCTCGTTCCCCCCTACCGCCGCGCCGCTGCAGACCCTGCACCTGGACGTCTGGGGCCCCGCCCCCGTCCCTGGGCCGCGTCGCGAGCGCTACTTCCTTGTGCTTGTCGACGACTTCACTCGTTACACCACAGTCTTTCCCCTGGAGCGCAAGGCCGACGTGCCTGGCGCCCTCATCCCCTGGCTTGTCTCTGCGCGTGTCCACCGCGGTCTCCCTGTCTTGCGTCTTCACTCAGACCGTGGTGGCGAGTTTGCCTCAGGTGTCCTTGGTCGCTTTTGTCGTGCGGAGGGCATCACCCAGACGTTCACCCTACCGGACTCCCCACAGCAGAATGGGGTCACTGAGCGACGCATCGGCTTGGTCATGGAGGTCGCTCGCACCTCCATGGTCCATGCCGGTGCACCCCATTTTCTGTGGCCGTTCGCTGTGCGCTACGCTTCTCACCAGCTTAACCTGTGGCCGCACCCTCAGCAGCCGCAGGTTTCGCCGACCCGTCTGTGGACTGGGTCTCCTGGTGACGCGTCTGCGTTCCACGTCTGGGGCTGCCTTGCTCACGTCCGTGCCTCCGGCACGGACAAGCTCACTGCCCGCACCCTTCCTTGCGTCTTCCTCGGTTTTCCCCTTGACGCGTCCGACTGGCACTTTTACCACCCGCCGTCTCACCGCTTCTTTCACTCTCGTGACGTCACCTTTGACGAGTCCGTCTCCTACTACCGCCGCTTCCCCCACCGTGGTCCCCCGGTTACCCCCCCCTTGTTCCTGGTCACCCCTTCCCCGGTAGTCCCTGCCCCTCCTCCTCCTCCTCCCCGTCCCGCCCCCTCTGGTGTCTCCCACGTCACCCCCCTTCCGTCCGTGGACCCGGTTGAGGAGTCTTCTGACTCTGGTGGCCCTCCGGTGCAGTCCTCGCCGGCCGCCCCTCCCCAGGTGTCCCCTCCCCAGTCCCCTCCTCCGCCGTCCCTGCCGCCACTGCAGCCGTCGCCGTCGCCGCCGCCGCCGCCGCCGCCGCAGTCGCAGCCCCCGTTCGCTGACTCTGGGGGTGCTCGTCCCGGTCGCCCTGAGGGTGGTCCCTCTGGGGGTGCGGGTGTGGAGAGTGCCGGTGGTAGCCGAGGAGCAGCTTGCGGTCCAGGTGTCGCCGTTGTGCCGCCGCAGCAGCAGTCCCCGCCGGTGTCCGCCCTTCGCCTGCTCGGCCTTCC